ACCCTCCCCTATTAATTACTAACTGAGAAAATGCCTACAGCCCTATCATGTGGATTCATTTTCTCAGTTGAGGTTCCCTCCTCTCAGATGGCTACAGCTTGTGTCAAGTTCATCAAACTAGTCAGCACACATGCTAATTCTGACCTCACTCTCCTTCCATGCTGAAGTGCAGCTCTCCAAGGCTGGGTTTCATTTATTGCCTGATATAAAGTGGAGTCTGCCATAATCTCAGAAAGAAAGCCACAGAGGCCAACAGCAGCATCCTTAGGGATGCCTGTGGAAAGGGATAACTGTTGGAAGGAGCAAAAATTCTCTAAAGAGAGATATGTGTGCCCTCCCTTTGTCTGATAGACTATAGAAATGGTACTATAGTCACACACAATGAAGTCACAACTATTTGGTAGATGAAAGAGACCTCAATCAAAAGCTTATACCCTGCATGAGCTCACTGATATGTTATAGAACAGGCTAAGGTATTCTCTGTTGATAGAAATCAGAATGATTACCTGTGAGGGTTGATAAAAAGAGGGACAAGAGAACTTTCTGAAGTCACAAAAATGTTTTATATTTTTAAGTGATGTTATTTAAAAAAGGGATGTTTTACTTTCATGGCCACATGCCTTTCACAAGCGAAAGGAGCCTTTTAGCATAGCGATGGAAAGGGCAGCCACCAGGCTAGTTCCAGGTGCCAAGAATATCACATTCTTTCCGAGACACTTTTTACACCATAGTAGAAACTAAGAGGATGATATTAAAGTATTCCTTACTCTGTGGAACAGAGACTGTTTCTAAAAACTTTCAAAATGTCAAATTCCTACATTTTGTAAAATATATTTTAAAAGCATAACTAAAATTTTTTAAAAAAGGATGTTTATATTTACCAAAAATTCTCAAATGTTTAGATTTGTATATAGTTAAGATCTGTGTACTTTACTGTTGCTAATTTTTCTTTAAAAATTAAAGATTTAGCCAGGCGGTGGTGGCGCACGCCTTTAATCCCAGCACTCGGGAGGCAGAGCCAGGCGGATCTCTGTGAGTTCGAGGCCAGCCTGGTCTCCAAAGCAAGTTCCAGGAAAGGCGCAAAGCTACACAGAGAAACCCTGTCTCGAAAAACCAAAAAAAAAATTAAAGATTTAGCCAGGAAGTGGTGGCGCATGCCTTTAATCCCAGCACTTGGGAGGCAGAGCCAGGCGGATCTCTGTGAGTTCGAGGCTAGCCTGGGCTACAGAGTGAGTTCCAAGAAAAGCACAAAGCTACACAGAGAAAACCTGTCTCCAAAAATAAATAAATAAATATTTATTTAGTTTTATTTTTTGTGTGTATGAGTCTTTATCTGCATGTATTTATGTGCATAATATGTGTGCAGTTCCCAAGAAGGCCAGAAGAGGGCATCATATTCCTTGGAATGGAGTTACAGATGGTTGTGATGTGGTTGTTGGGATCTGAACCCAGGTCCTCTGCAGGAACAGCAAGTGATTTTTTTAACTGCTGAACCATCTCTGCAGTCCAGGTTGGTATTTTTCTTTTAATGAGAAAAAAACTCAAATGATCAAAAAATGTGTAAATTATAGAACTCACACATCACTTCCTTGTTAAAAAAATTAATTATTGCTAACATATACACAGCTGGGCAAACTCCAAACCCTGCATCTTCGTGTCTGATGTTGAAATGCTCTTTAGATCTCCAACTCTGTTCAGCTTTGTGACTACAACACACTTCTTCATCTTGGGCTGGTTCCATTCCCTATTAGCAGCTCTCCTAGACAGGTATCCCATGACTCTGGCATCTCTAACATCTTGGGTTCTCCAAGGCAATCCAGGCTTCAACATCACAGCTTCACTCAACAGTCTCTCTACTAGGCATCTATTCAGGGACACCCCTGACAGATGCCTGGCCTCAGCAGCTTTCTTTCTTTCTTTCTTTCTTTCTTTCTTTCTTTCTTTCTTTCTTTCTTTCTTTCTTTCTTTCTCTCTTTCTTTTTGTTTGTTTGTTTGTTCTGTTTTTCCAGACAGGGTTTCTCTGTGTAACATTCCTACTTATTCTGGAACTCTCTTTGTAGATGAGGCTGTCCTCGAATCCACTGAGATCTGCCTGCCTCTGCCTCCCAAGTGCTGGGATTAAAGGCATGTGCCACCACCACTCAGCTCTCAGCAGCTTTCTTTAGGCATGGAAGCAAATTCTATAAGCCATTTCTTCTATCCTTTCCTCTAAAGCCAGAACCATGTGGCCAAAGCTACCAAGTTCTACTGCTTACTGGGCCTGGAACATGGCCCCTTTGTTCAATTACATCTTCACCAGCTTTCTGTCCTTCACTGCCTAAGCTTGGCTGTCCCAAAACTTGCTCTGTAAACCAGGCTGGTCTCAAACTCAGAGATCTGCCAGCCTCTTCCTTCCCAGTGCTAGAATTGAAGGTGTGTCCCACCACACCTGGCTCTAAGCTTTTCTTTAGTTCCTTTTTACAATTTGGAAAGTTAGCTGGTTGGGAATCTTGCCCTGAGGTTACCACTCCCTATATTCCATTTCCTAATCTGTTTATCTCCTTGAACACTGAATTTAGCTTTATTCCACTTCCTAGTGCTCTTTTTCTCCTCAAAATTTTCACTTTGTAATTTACCTTGCTCAGCTTGCTCCTTTTCATTATAAATCCTCATTAGAGTTACCACTAAAAACCACAAGACAGAATGTTTTGAGATTTCCTCTGCCAACGGAATTAATCCAAAACTCTTCACTTTAGCCTCAGGCAGACTCTGGACAAGGGCAAAAGGCAGCCACCTTTTATTCTTCACCAAAAATATCACAAGAATGGTCTGTAGGCGACACCCTAAAGTTCTCCTTGAAACATCTTGAGTGAGCACCCCACAGTTCAGCCAGTCGCACTCAGCACCAGTCTCCCAGGCTCCTACTAGCATGGCCTATTAAGCAGCACTTAAAACGTTCAACTGCTTTTTTTTTCTTTTTACTTTCTTTTTATTTATTCTGTGTGTCTTTCACATCATGCATCATGATCCCATTCATTTCCCTATCCCTTCACATCTGCCCTCTGCCCCTGCAATGCCCGCCCCAACAAAACAAAACAAAATGGAAAAAAATAAAAATCTCATCGTGGAAGCTACAGTGTGGCACAGCGAGTCGCACAGTAAACCCCTTTGTCAATATATCTTTACTTCCAAGTGTTCATTGAGAAGAGTCATTGGTCCGGTTCCAGGTCTCCGGTTTCCGCTACACTCCCTATGAGCTTATGGGAGCCAAATATATTCAAGCTACTACACCCTTAGAGAAGGAGTGGGTAGGGAGAATCATGGGACCCTCACCTGAGTATCCACCCATCCCCCTCAGCCAATTATATGCAGCGCTGCCATAATTTACACGTGAGCTCTGCGGAGACAAGGGGAACAGGTGCCCAAGAATGCACAGCCATGGAGAAGCCATCATTCTTGCTGGGTGCAGACCTTCCAGTGTAGTTACTTTCGACTCACCCAAGCTCCAGCTTGAAACCCCTCACCCATGCTCTGTAAGTAACCCTAGTAACGTTTGGTGGTTGGGATCCCAGCAGAAGGGAGTAAAGTACTTTTACCCGCCGCAGCTTCCTTGAGGAAGTGCCATTCTTAATTTTTGTTGTTTTGGTTTTAAAGATGTGTATGTGCGTGTGCTCCCCACCCTCAACCCCATTCAATAACAGGGTTGACATAGCTACACGTAGCTATGAGCCACCTGACGTGAGTGTTGGGGTTCGAACTTGGCACCTCTGGAAGAGCAACAAGTGACAATTTTGACTGAGTCTTAAAGCATCAACAAGGATTATTCAGACATTAGCTAGAGACATAGACTCTGTTGTTTAATTGTTCAGTGGTCAGTGACAGGGGCAACTCTATTGTAGAATATTATTTTAAGAAACATTACATTCGTTTAGGCTGTGGAACATTTGTTTAATGCTGCAAAAATGTGTTGCATTCTTCTATGTTACATTTGTTTAGCTCTGTGAAGCTGTGTTACTGTGTCTGTCTAAAACACCTGATTGGTCTAATAAAGAGCTGAATGGCCAATAGTGAGGTAGGAGAAAGGATGGGCAGGGCTGGCAGACAGAGAGAATAAATAGAAGGAGAAATCTGGGAAGAAAGGAAGAAAGAAGGAACAAGAGAACAGGGAGAGGAGGATGCTAGGGGCCAGCCCCCCCAGACACACAGCCAGCCTCCGACTAAGAGTGAAAGTAAGATATACAGAAGAAAAGGAAAAAGCCCAGGGGCAAAAGGTAGATGGGATAATTTAAAGCTAAGAAAAGCTGGCAAGAAACTAAGCCAAGCCAAGGCCGGGCATTTATAATTAAGAATAAGCCTCTGTGTGTGGTTTATTTGGGAGCTGGGTGGCGGGCCCCCTAAAGAGCAAAAAAGAGCCAAAAAGTAGGAAAAAAAAATAACACAAGTTCCTTTGCCTCTTCGTGCCCCAGGGACAGTGCTGTTAACGACAGGTATACGGGTGTGGTCCATGTTGGGACTGCTGCTGCAGTATTTAAAGAACTTCAGTACGCAAGGCTTGAAGAGACAGGAGCAAGAGCCGAGACGCACACTATGTGCCCTGGGCGCCCCTCGTCTCTCAACATTTTTGTGCTAAAAATACATTTCTCCTCTAAATATGAAACAGGACAGTTACAGCTGTTGCTTCTGTCTACTTGGAAACCTCCATCTGGGCCAAGGCGACTCTCAGAGACCCGCGGCGACCCTGGGGAACGGCAGACGGCCCTCCACCGCGCCGAGTCCGGGGAGGCCGAGTCGAGCCGAACACACCCGCCAGCATGCGCCACTCTGATTGGCTCGGCCGGCCCCCAGCATCCAATCGGCGCAGCGTTTGTTGAGCAGCGCCGGCGACCTGGGTACACAAGTGGCCTGAGAGAGCGGCGGGTGGGCGGCGGGGCCATGAACCTGGGGTAAGCCGGCGGGGACCCCGTGGGCTGCCGGGCTGTGCCCGCGCGTGGCGGCGGCGGGCGCGGGAGAGGCGGGCCGGGCTCCGGGTCCAGCGCAGGCTGTGGTGTCGGAGCCCCGGAGGGGGAGACGGCGCCCGGGAGGGCGAGATGCTCGGCTCGCCCCAGCTGCTCTGCACCGAGCTGGAGCATCCTGAGCTGCGGCAGGACCGAGTCCGGGCGCGGGTCTTCATCTCAGCAGTTCAGCCTTGTAGGGAGACCGGCCACCAAACCCAGACGGAACCGCGCATCCAGCCGCTGAGTGTTAGCTTCTCATCTGGGAGTTCAGGGATAAACGAGGCAGCCTGCACCGTGAGCTTACGGGACGGTGGAATGGGGACTTAGCAACTTGAGTTTCATTCAAGATGTTGCTTTCCAACGTAAACATGAGCTGTTCGTAGTCCTGCTGCCGGGAAGCCTTAACCTCTCTCCCAGATTGTTTCCTTTAACAAACCGAGGCACTTTGATTCCTCTACCAAAGCAACACTGAGTTTAGCGTTGCTAGTTAGACCTTTCTCAACCTGCTCGCCCTTAATTGCTTGGTTTGATGTTTTCTCTTGAACAGCCCCTATGTCTTCATTACTGTTCATGGACACATCCTCCCTCCTCCCCTCCTCCCCCCCCCCCCCCCCCCCCAGGGAAACAGTGAAATACTGTGTGGAATCCCATCAAGGGAGTTTTGATGATGACCTTAATAGACAACATAAGTTTTGCAGGCAGTGTTTACCGTTTCTTTATGCTGGTGCCTTTGACATGTAAAGTGTCATAGTAGCCAAAGTTTATTATGCATTTATTATGATAGTAAAAACCAAAGAGTCACTAAAGCAACCATGTACTATGTGAAATATTCCAAATTGGGTGGAATTCTGTGCTTAAGCAGCTATCACCTTGGTGACCATTTAAACCATTTTCAGGCACTTCCAGCCCTTAGAATGTGTCAGTCATGAAACCATTACAAAACTAATAAATGGCTTATCAGTGTCTTATACCTTGGTAAGTAGTTCTGGCAGTAACATGGAATTTTTGGTATAGAGCTACAAGTTAAAAGATGCTGTAATGATTACTTTATTCTTTACCAGTAACAAAAATCAGGTTTCAGGTTAAAAATCACAAATGCTTGCCTCACTGAAAAGTTAAAGTCTTTTCCTGTGGGTTTTTTTTTTTTCTTTCCACTTTGGTTGAAAAACTTTTAAAATATTAACTTTATGTGTCTGGGTGTCATAGACATGTGGGCCACTTGTGTGGCTGGTGCCATTGGAGGCCAGAGAGAGCATTATTACAGGTGGTTGTTAGCCTCAATGTTGATTCCGCTCTGAGAGAATAGCCATCTCTCCAGCCTTGTAAAAATACTTTAAAATATAGAGACTACTCTGGGGGAGGTTCAGGCAGGAGAAGCAGGAATTCAAGGCAGGCCTGGCCTGCATAGTGAATTTGAAGGCAGCCTAGGCTATATGGCTTTAAAGAAACAAAAACCCCTGCTGTAATGGTCACATGATTCCTGTATACATTCAAAGGTTCATATAAATATTTCTGGTTGCTATTTAATTAAAGCATCAAAACAATTTTCTTTTATATTGCAGAGATGGTTTGAAGCTTGAAACTGAATTGTTGGATGGAAAAACCAAGCTAATACTGTCTCCATATGGTATGCTATTATTGAAAGTCTAAAGTGTTTGTTTGTATGTAGAACATAGAGTTTAACAGACATTTTGCTTGTAATAAAGATAGTTAAATGACACTGGGAAAAAGCTTTTCTATTAATGGGTTTGAATTGACATTTATCCAAGTAAGGTCCGATTGAGACGGTGATTACTCCTGTCACTTTTGGTTCATAGAATGTATTTCATGTGAAGTATGATTTTGATGTTAGCATACCTTCTTGCCTAATAAGTAATGCAGGTAGAGTTGAGAAAATTATGTACTTTGCATGTAAACAAACTATTGTGTGAGACAGTTAAATTTATACAGTATAACCACAGTTGCTAAAGTCTTTAGTAGTAGTAGTAGTAGTAGTAGTAGTAGTAGTTTTTCAACTCAGTATAGTTTCTCAGTCTTCTCCGTCAAGGTATTTGCCTGCTCCCCACCACCATCTGTTTACAGTCTTACCTTGCAAAGACAACTGAAATAAAAATGAAATGAAAGTTAATACTTGAACCACCATATTGTAAAAGTTGGAATACTCAGATGGAACTTAAGGTTAATGCTTCGGGGACAGTATTTTCATCTTAAACAATACTTAACGTCACTGCCTTAATATGTTTGGGTGTATAGTTTAGTAATTTTATTTTCTCTTGTAGAGCATAAATCAAAAGTTTCTGTGAAGGTAAGTTAAGTGATTTTGACCCTCCCTGTTTCCACGTGTGACATGTATACTTCCATTGGTTCTCTATGTTGAGGCGGGGTCTCTCAGTTGGACCCAGAACTTGTCAGTCCAGCTAGTCAGGCTAGGCAGCTTTCTCTGGAGGACTTCCTGTCTCTGCTTTGAGCACTGGACTTACAGGTGGGCCTCCATAAGCACCCAGCATGCTTGTGTGCTCTGAGTATCCAAATACTGCTCCTCGCAATTTCAGGGCAAGCTCTTTAACCACTGGGCCATTTCCCCAACCAGAAATTTATCATAACAGGAAAACTGGTTACTTGTCAGTTACCAGCAGTCAAAGGAGCACCTGGTAAGGCATTGAACTACGTGGTGGTTACAGGGGCGAAAGTAGCCAGAAATGACTTTGAACACCGTTTATGGGAGTGCACCACACTTAGCGATGTGAATGAGATATGTTTAGAGAACGGAACTGCCCGACTCTGACACAAGAAAGGCTCATGAATCAGGACAGCAAGAAGAGGAGAATTCCAGTGGTTGGAGATGAGCTGGGGTGGTAGGCAGAAGTCACCTGCTTGAGCCATAGGCAGTATGTTGATAATTTGATTGATAAAGTGACTTTTGAAAAACTAAAATGACTTGGATTTGGGGTGTTTTGTTTTGAGACAAGGTCTCTCCATACAGTCCTGGCTGTCCTGGAACTCGCTATGTAGACCAGACTGGCCTTGGACTGGCAGAGATGTGCCTGCTTCTGCCTCCCGAGTGCTAGAATTAAAGGTGTGCACCTCCACACCTGGCTCTAAAATGGACTTGTTTATGTCTAAAAATGAGACTCTGACATCTGGCATTCTTAGTTTTCTTGAACTATGGGAAGATTTTCCCGCTAGGCTCTATTCCTGTATAGCAGTGCGGCATAGCTGGGAAATGTGGTCGTATCCTTTAGGTGAGAAAAATGCCCCTGAGGTCATGCCAGTTTCCATCTGGTCTAACTTAGGGACATGTTTTAATTTGTCACCCGTCATTTAGACAGTTATATTGAAAAAGCTCCAGGGATGCAAAGGCAAAAAGGTACGAAGATGCTGCTGTTATCTAAAACCCGAGCCCGAAGCTAAGGAGACAGTCAGCAGCTAAGAGCATTGACTGCTCCTGCAACATGGTGGCACACAACCATCTATAACTCCAGTTTCAGGGGGTTTAATCCTTCTTCTGACCTCAGTGGGCCCATCACATATGTGATGCATAAACATACACTCAGGCACACACACATAAAATGCATAATTTTAAAAACAACCGAAACCTAAAGCCAGGAATACACAGGGTGAGGGGTGTGCTTAGTATGTATGACAGACTGCAGAATAAAGAGTGGGAAAGAAGTGATTCTAGTTGGTGGTGGCATCTAAGGTTGTTAAGAAGGAAATGAACAAGCGGGGAGGTGTTAGTAGATCCCAGCACAGACAAACAGTACTTAGAACTGGGACGTGGGAGAGAATGAGTTGGAAAACAGGAGGTGAGAGTCATTATCTCGAACTTGAAAATGGAGAGAGCTTGCAGTTGTGGGTCCTTACAGCGTCAGTATAAGATCACTGGGGTCACAGTAGAACCTCGGGGACACTGGGGGAATGAGTGAGGCCATATGGAGATGAATATAGGAAGAGTTTGAGGAAGTGACATCTCTGTGGATGTGAACACAACAGTAATTAGCACAGGACTGGAATTGGAGAGTGGGTGACCAAGCAGCTAAGATAGTCTAGGGATAAAGACTGGTAACTTCAAAGAGGTAATATGAGTTATATAATTTACTGATAGAAAATTCAAAGCTGGATAGAATAGAGATGACCTATAACGTACAACTTGATTTGTATTCTTTATTATCTGGAGTTAAAATAATTTCTCATTGTCGAGGCTTTCAAGTGAAAGTCTGCAGAGGTAAACAATCGCTTATGGCTGTAGTATCTAATTAATAGCAAAATAAAAAGTTTAGAGGCCTGATTCATTACAGATTTTAAGAATAAAGATGATTGTTAGCTAGGTTAGTGGTTCATACTTGCAATCTTAGAAGAGGTGAGAGGATCAAGGCCAGCTTAGGCTGCATACCAATACTGTGTCTCCAGACAAAAACGATGTCAGTGTTTTTCATACACTGTCATAAAGAATGAACTTGTGTTTTAACAGATGGGAAATAAGATCAAGATTGCAAAATGTCCTTTAAGAATAAAACAGACTGGACACATTCTAAAATCAACACAGAATTCTTACATTGGGAGCGAAAACATTTCTCAAAAGAAGATAATTAGTTCAGAAACTTCACAGGCAAAACCTGAGAAAATTAGATTCCCATTTTCACCCTCTAAGGATTTATGTCGGCAGTATGCAGAAAAAGACTGTCATCATTTCCCAAAAGAGTCTTCACCTGCAACCTCTGATATACAGAAGACTGTAAACACGGCAGATAAATACCTAGTGTCTAAACAGAAGCCTTGCAAAACACACCCTACCGAAACCATGGACAGCAGCATGGTGTGTCTAACCCAAGACCAACTACGGCAGATTTTGATGAGTGTCAGCCAAGGGAATGGATCTGTGTCCCTAACTGGAAATGGAAAGGAGGAGAAAGCAAGTAAGAGTTTTCTTAAACTTTGTTAACTATTCATTTTCCCAGTATGTGCTTTTGAATTTCAGATTCATTGGCTGCATTTCTGACTGTGTCTCTTAAATCTGATTTAACATGCAGTAATCTTTTTTGGGGGAGGGGGAGGGATGTCCTGAAACTCTCTCTGTAGACCAGGCTGGCTCAAACACAGAGAGATCCGCCTGCCTCTGCCTCATAAGTGCTGGGATTAAAGGTGTGTACCAACACCGCCTGGCACATGCAGTAATCTTAAACTATTATTCACATTATTAAGCTATTACTCACATTAGGCTTTTTCTTATACATAAAATATGTAAAACTGCTTTATAGTTTTGCCATTTTTAAAGATTAATGCTCAGATTTATTTATTTATTTAGAGGCAGGGTCTCTTTCTCTTGCCCTGGCTGACCTGGAGCTTAGTACATAGACCAGGCTGGCCTTAAACTCATAGAGATCCATCTGCCTCTGCCTCCTGAGTGCTGGGATTAAAAGCATCTTATACTATGTCTGGCCTCAAAATAATCTTAAAATGTCTGGTTTTGGGGCTGGAGAGATAGCTCAGCAGTTAAAGTATTTATATAAGCCGGCTATGGGGTTTAAACCTGTAATCCCTGTACTCAGCAGACTGAGGCAAGCTTGAGCTAGAGTGGGATCCCACTTCAGTAACAAAAAAATGGCACACAAGTGTTTACAAAGATAAGCCTCTGAGATTGAAGTGAATCTTAAGGACGCCCTACTGCGGAGACTTGACTTCTGAAACCCGTCGTTCTGGTGCTAGTCAAGCTTCCTGTCCTGCTCTCCGACCAGCGGAGGCCGGCTCTACTCTCCTTGCCAGTGGAAACAGGTTTATCTAAGGAGATACTGTAGGCACTCCCCTCACTAACCAGGGTCATGTTGTAAAAACCTCATTTCAGCTTTGACCATGAAAGTACTCAGAATGCCACAAGTGTATTAAGTACAGTGAAGTGACAATAAAATGTCAGTGATCGTGGAAGGGTCATGTAACTCACGTGGGTACTGGGTAACTTATGTATGCTCCCACATGTTCACAGGGAGTTCCTTCGCCCAGTCTTTATTATTTGTAAAATAGAGGAAGTTGGCTTTCTTTAGGCTAGAATTGTAGCTCAGAACTGTATCTCACTGCGAGGTGGAGTGAGGGTAGAGTTAAGACATTTTATGTAATCCTGAGGTAACTTGCATTTTAGATGCTCCCTCTCTGAGAGAAATGGCACAACACTAGAGTATGAACGTTCTGTACAACACTTGGTTTAGTTGTGGTAGCCGAGGCATATAGACCACAGTTCACAGAAAACTCCCACAGGTAAAGAAGAAAAACAAGGTCATGGATGTTTTGTTTTTAAGTCAATTTATTTATTCACTTATTTTACATCCCGGCCACAGATTCCCCTCCCTCCTCTCCTCCCAGTCTCTTCCTCCATCCCCTCTCTGTTCCCACCCCCCCCCCCCCAATCCATTCCTCCTCCATTTACTCATGGGAGGTCATGGGTTTTTATTAAACTATTTGCATCTGCCTCTTTTTATGTTGTGATTTATATTATAATTTCATATAATTACAAATTACATGTAATTTTAAATTGTATAAATTAAGTTATAAATGTAAATTATTTTGGCAAGAGTGAATGGAGGTTTTTTGTTTTGTTTCACCAAACAGATCTCATGTAACCAGGCTGGCCTCAAACTCAGTACATAGCTGAAGACCGGACTTCCATCTTGCTGCCTCTGCCTCCTGAGTACTGAGCACAGGTATGCACCACCTTACTGGTTCATCCAGTGCTAGGGATGGAACAGACTGGGTTGGCATGAGGCAAGCGTTTTGGTGTGTTCTGGGCCAGCTTAGTGGTATTCCCAGCCCTGTTTTTTCTGTTTTTGCTTGTTTTCTTTTTTATTTCATTTAAAAAGTTGTTTGGCTGTAGCCAGGAGTCAACTATTTAAACTCTGGGCCACAATTTTTCTCTTTTCTCTTGATTATTTATTTAGGGTAAGGTCTCGTGTAGGTCAGGCTAGCCTCAGTCTACTAGTACCGTCTCAAAAGGTAAAAATCACGTCCGTCTGTCTTTGTTATTTGTTATAATAACCCTGCTATTGCTCCCAGGGTGGTCTTGAACTCCACCCAGTCTTCCTGCCCTTACCTCCCAAGTGCCATGCTCTAGGTTTGCACCCTGTGCTGGATTATGTGGTGCTGGGAGTCAGCCCAAGGCTGTGCTCATGTGAGGCAGGCACTAATGACCAGGCTGCATTCTAGCCTGTCGGGTTTTGTTTTTGAGTCGCCCTCATGTAGCCGAGGTGGCCTTTAACTCCTGATTCTCCTGCTCTGTCTGCTGAGTGTCAGGGTTGCAGGTATATGCCATCATGCCCAAGAGTCAGGGTCTCACTCTGTAGCCCTGGCTGGCCTGAAACACAGAGATTGGCCTGCCTCTGCCTCCTGAGTACTGGGACTAAAGGTTTACACCTCTGCACCTATCTGTTGTAGAATATTATTTTAAGATGTGTTACGTTTGTTTTTTCTGTGTAACATTTGTTTAAAGATGCAAAGATGTGTTGCATTCTTTTATGTTGCATTTGTTGAACTTTGTGAAGCTGTGTTTCTTTGCTTGTCTAAAACACCTGATGGTCTAATAAAGAGCTGAACAGTCAATAGGAAGGCAGGAAAAAGGATAGGTGGGGCTGACAGGCAGAGAGAATAAATAGGAGAAATCTGGGAAGAAAAGGAGAAAGAGCAAGAGAACAAGGAGAGGAGAATGCTAGGGGCCAGCCAGAGTAAGAGTGAAAGTAAGATATACAGAAGAAAAGGAAAAAACCCAGAGGCAAAAGGTAGACAAGATAATTTAAGAAAAGCTGGCAAGAAACAAGGCAAGCTAAGGCCAGGCATTTATAATGAAGAATAAGTCTCCATATGTAGTTTATCTGGGAGCTGGGTGGTGGGCCCCCAAAAGAGCAAAGAGCAAAAACAACCAACAACACCTCCTTATTTTTATTTATTTGTTTTGAGACAAAATCTCACTCTGCATTCTGAGCTGGCTGAGGACTTGTGTGTTGTCCAGACCAGCCTCAAACTCAGTGATCCTCTTGCCCCAGCTTCCTGAGTTGTACCTGAGGGTTATGGGTGTGAGCCATTATGCCTGCTAAGACTTTTCTTTCAACTGTATAGGATTATGTTATATAATAGGTATGATTTTTAAAACATGCATTTTATTTCCTAGGTCAAGATAGTTTACATTTAGTCAATATTCCTAGCCAGCCAAAGGATGTGGATGTTACAGGATTACTGCAGAAAATGGAGGCTGTTTCACCTGTCTCAAATGAAAATAAGCATGTCTTCAGTAGAACTCAAGAGGCATTTCAACAGTGTGAGCAGAAGATTGCCATGTATGTGACTCACATGTGTTTCTGGGGTATCTGGAGAATATGTGTTTGCTTGTCCATTGCATGTGAAGTGCTCTGAATACTTGGCTATTTACACAGTTAGTCACATGGAAGCATAATGATAAGGCTCCTGGGTTTCATGTGTGTGTTTTTTTTTTTTTTTTTTTTTGTTTTTTTTTTTTTTTTTTTTTTGTTTTTTCGAGACAGGGTCTCTCTGTGTAGCTTTGCGCCTTTCCTGGAACTCACTCGGTAGTCCAGGCTGGCCTCGAACTCACAGAGATCCGCCTGGCTCTGCCTCCCGAGTGCTGGGATTAAAGGCGTGCGCCACCACCGCCCGGCTCATGTGTGTGTTTTATCTTAGAGAGAATGAGTGGAAGCCAGCGGACATATTCAGTACTCTGGGGGAACGGGAGCGCGATAGAAGTTTGTTGGAAGCAAGAAGAGCCCAGTGGAAAAAAGAGCTAGGTAATTTATTGCTTTCTAGTATAGGTTTGTTGGCTCGTGGGATGCTTAGTTATCTTTCAGTATATTATCAAGTCTTGTTTGATAACATGTAACATCTGTAGTTCTCTGCAGACTCCTGAGAAGCTTTGGGCTTTCACATTGCCTTCTGTCTTTGGTGCCATTCAGTGTGCACCAAAAGCAATGTGCCATAGCATCCTTTTGGAGCCCTGCAAATATTCCTAAACCTTTTCTATTTGTATTTTTCTGTTATAGAAATCCTGTGAATTGAGGTATGGCTTTATTAAAAAATAGTTCAGTGTGTATGTCTGTGTGTGTGTGTGTGTGTGTGTGTGTGTGTGTGTGTGTGTGTGTGTAGGTCAGGGAACAGTTTGTAAGGGTCAGTTCTCTTCTTCCACCATGTGGGTCTTGGGATTGAATGGATTGAATTTAAGTAAGTTGTCAGACTTGGTGACAAGTGCCTTTACCCAGTGAGCCATCTCACCAGCCCATAGCTTCAGTTCCTGTTTCCCTTTCAACAGTGAGTGAGAACGAACTAACATCCTTACTTTGTGCTAGACTCTCCACTGAAGTAGACAATACTGTGACTCAGTTTTACAGAAGAAACCAAGGTTTAGCGGGTGAAAGAGCAGTTTGTCTGTCACATAGGTAGGAAGCGGTTGAGCTTGATGTGGACCCTAAAGTGTGGCTGTGTACCTTCTAAGTCCATTAGTAATAATAACCTAGGATGGTAGGCATGCGGAGTGGCTCGCACAACAGTGTTCTGAGAGATGGTCCCCATTACTGATCTCCGTGATAACGACATTCTTCTGTCTGCTGCACTTGAGACTGACTCGGACTCAGTGTTTTACCGCACACCCTTCAAAGTGCCTTTCTCCCTGGGAGTCATCTTGTCCCAAGCAAACGACATTGATTAACTGCTGCCTTTTGTACTCTTGAAGAAGGTCATGATTTGTTTACATGAGTCTTTTTTTTTACAGTCTTTGTACATTTTTTTAAAAAAGGATATTATTTACAGATGAACAGGTTGCTTTAAAGAAGAAAGAAAAAGAAGCTTCTCAAAAATGGAATAATCCTTGGAAAAAATCTGAAATAGTATGTGAGAAAATTCAAATCCTTGACCAATCTAAGGTAAGAATTTCAAATTCAGTCAAGCATTATGCTTATGTCTTTGCTATTACAATTTTTTTTTTTTTCTGTTTTGGTTTTTTTCAAGACAGTCTCACTAGTTAGCTCAGGCTGTCCTGGAATTCATTATGTAGACCAGGCTGGCCTCAAACTCAAGAGATTCACCTGCTTCTGCCTCCAGAGTAACAGGTTAAAAATATGTGCCACCATGCCTGGCCTTTATTACAATTTTTAAAATGTGAAATAATGTTCAAATTATAGGACTTACTTTGACAATTTTGGGGTTTTTGTTTTGTTTTTGTTTTTGTTTTGAGGCAGGCAGGGTTTTGCTATGTAGCCCAGGCTGGCCTCAGACTTATGCCAGTCCTCCTGCCTCAGCTACTTTGTGCTGGATTCCAGGCACTTGCCATCATGCCCAGCACTAGAAATCTTATTTGTAGTGTTTATCAATTAAGAATGGAAAACTGTACTTTTCTTAGGTTTGCCATGGTACTTAATTTACTCTTGGCCCAAACTAGTGTTCTTAATTTCCACTTGCAGTTCATAAGTTGCCTTGCTGATTTTCATTGGTGTTTAATTTCAGATAAAGACAGTTTGCTTCCCTTCCCCCCCTCCTTTGCCCCTGTCTCCCTCTCCTGCTGTTTCTTCAGACACTCTGCCACAGCTTCCTTGAACAGGTTATGGCTGTCTAGGCTGCTGGATGGCCACTAGTTTGGAGCTAGTCAGTCATCAGATGCTGAGTTCTAAGTACTGGGACTTTGGATGTTTAAACCTCTTAGTCCTTGATTTCTGTATAACCTATTTGCCTCAAAGGAATGATTCAGAGTCTCTAAATTACCAATTATTAGATATGTATATATTTTTTACTTTTCAACTTTTACATTTGTTTGTGCTTGTGTGTGTGTGTGGTTTGCTTGCATATCTGTATGTATGTATATTCTCAAGTATGTAGTTATACATGTACACATGTGAACGTACATGTGGAAGCCAGAGAGTAACTTCCTAGATCACTCTCTACCTTATATGTTGAGGTGGAGTTTCTCACTTGAATTGGAACTCCCAGTTCAGTGGAGTCTGGTTCTGGGGATTGAACTCACATCCTGGATTATGGACAAGCCCTCTCAACTGCCCAGCATTTATATGGGTGCCGGGGGTCCAGACCTCCTCATACTTACTATCAAGGGCTTTTATCTGTGGCTCAGTAGTGGAAGTCTGAAAACTAAAACACAAACTCCAAAACTGGCTGAGCAAGAGTGAAAGAAGTGTGAGCAACTGCCTGTCCTTTCAGTGTCGAAGTGTGGCCTTATGCCTTGTGAATCTGATACGCTAGTGGGCGAGTTTTGTTGCTGCCTTTTTCTTTTTGTACATGCTAGGCAAGTCACATCTTCAGCCCTTGGAGAAATTCTCTTTTGAGGAAAAAAGAGTGAACTGTGTGATACAGAAGCCCATTCCTTTACACTGTGCACTTCAAAACGCCTTTTGTGCTTCCAAGTTAATTAAGCATGAGGTTTTTGAGATCACCCCCCTATTGAAATCTTGGCTTTCCTCTCATGAATAGCACACTCTAGAAGCCTCTGAAATAAAGATGGTGTGTTCGAATACACACTTGAATACAGAATGGTTACCATGGCAGACCATACTCCTACTGCTTGTCATTGTCAGACCATAGTTCTGTAGTTGCCAACAGAAAGTTCATTTGAACTTTGCCTAATTAAAAACTAAACAAACGACCCCCTCACATGTTTTGAGGTAAAATACATATAACTTGACATTTACCGTTTTAAAAAATACTGTTCTTTTACATTTGTTTAGAGAGAGAAAGTGTGTGTGTGTGTGTGTGTGTGTGACACACACACCACAGCCTATGTGGAGGTCAGTAGACAACATTCCAGAGTCAGTGGGCCCAGGATTAAACTTGGGTCATCAGGTTAGGCAATGTCCTTACTTGCTGAACCATCTCACTGGGATGGTCAACTTGTACACTGGAAATAATTAAAGCCAGAAGTTATTAAAAAGTCATTAATAGACGACTCAGTTAGGATCTCTATTGCTGCAGTGCAGCAGAACACCATGGCCAGAAAGCAAGTTGGGGAGGATAGGGTTTATTTGGCTTACACTTCTGCACTGTAGTTCATCACCGAAGGAACCCAGAACAGGAACTCAAACAGGGCAGGAACCTGGAGGCAGGAGCTGATGCAGAGGCCATGGAGGGGTGCTGCTTACTTGCTTGTTTCTCATGTCTTGCTCAGCCTGCTTTCTTACAGAACCCAGGACACCAGCCTAGGAACAGCACCACACACCATGGATGGGCCCTGCCCATCAGTCACTAATTGAGAAAATGCCTACAGCTAGATCTTACGGGGGCATTTTCTCAATTGAGGTTCCTCCTTTCAGATAACTCTATCTTGTGTTGCCATGTGGACACAGCACTATCCAGCACAACATGTAAGCTTCTCAAAAGACTAGCATGAGTTAAAAAGGCTGTAGTCTATGAACATTTAGAAAAAGTAAGAGGACATTAAGAATAACTGGTGCAGTGGTCAAGAGTACACACTGCTCTTAAAGAGGACTGAGTTCAGTTCTCAGCACCCATCCTGGGTAGCTAACCATGCCTGTCACTCCAGCTCCAGGGCATCTGACACTCTGCTTTAGACTCTATGGGAATCTGCACCCATGCACATACCTACACATACATGAAATTAAAAAATAATAAACATCTTAAAACCTTATGCCAGCATATTACAGAATTTTGAGAGAAAAAAAAATGGCCAAAGCAGCAGTGATCAAGCTGTACTGTATTTCTAAAGAAATTGATTCCATCATTACAAGTGTCTATACTTCAGGAAGCTTGGGCTGGAGGGTCATAAGTTTGAAGCTAGCCTGGGCTACTATGTAATGTGATCTTATCTCAAACTAAAGATGGAGAAGGAAAAGAGGGGGACCTGAGCGAGGTAAACTCCAGGCCCAGAAGTATTTACAATAGGAAGGTTTTCAGTGTGGTGTTCAGACTAGTGATCCTGATAACCAAGACTAACAAAACACTTCTGATATTAAAACTTGACTAGAAACCTTAGAAAAATTACAAAAAATAATCTGGGGAGTTGGGTTTATTCAAAGAATGCAAATTGGCATTAATATTCACAAACCAATGCTACTCATAGAAATAAACTTAACCAAAAAGGCTAGATTAAGCTGGGTGGTGGTGGCTCATGCCTTTAATCCCAGCACTCGGGAGGCAGAGGCAGGTGGATCTCTGTGAGTTCGAGGCCAGCCTGGTTTACAGAGTGAATTCCAGGACAGCTAAGGCTACACAGAGAAACCCTGTCTCTAAAACAACAGCAACAACAACAACAACAAAAAGGCCAGGTTAAGATTAATATTTATTAAAAAGATGATCTACAAAAGCAGAATGGTGGGGCTGGGGAAACCGAGGGTCAGGAGGGCCTGAGTGGGGGTGCAGGCTTGTGATCCAGTACTACGGACGTGGAGATGTAGCTTGAGTTTTCCTGCCTGGCCCACAGTCAAGACAAATCTCTCTCACCTGCCAGTCCCACAGCCGCTCAAACCTGACCAAGTAAATGCAGAGACTTATATTGGTTACAAACTGTATGGCCATGGCAGGCTTCTTGCTAACTGTTCTTACAGCTTAAATTAATCCATTTCTATAAATCTATACCTTGCCACGTGGCTCGTGGCTTACCGGCATCTTCACATGCTGTTTGTCATCATGGCGGCTGGCAGTGTCTCTCTGACTCAGCCTTTCACTTCCCAGCTTTATTCTCCTCCTTGTCCCGCCTACACTTCCTGCCTGACCACTGGCCAATCAGTGTTTTATTTATTGACTAATCAGCAACATATTTGCCATACAGAACATCCTACAGCATTTCCCCCTTTTTTTTTCAAAAAAAGGTTTTAACCTTAACAAAGTAAAATTACATATAATTTGGGAATTTGGGCGTAGCTTCTCTTACTACTTCCTGCTGGAGGGGGGCGCTGTATCTTATGGGGACGCAAAGAAAATTTTAGGATTATGGAATAGTCCATGAGGGTGTATCGTCTGAGCCAGTTGCCTTCAAACCATTCTGGATGTTGGATCATTTGGGCCATGGTGTCATCGGAGACCTTCAGGGGGTCTTGGCTGGTCAAACCTGATGTATCTTAATCTGGAACAAATCCATAGCCTCTGGCTTTCTGTGGGAACAAAAGCAGAGTCTCCTTTCCAAAGTAACATATCTTTACATCCAAATTTTGAAGTCAAGATATCTTTAAAATATACATATTGGTTTAACTCAGCTTCCTTTACAATCAAATATCTCTCTGCAGTTAAGAATCCCAAAGACAACACAATCCAGATTCTCTGTGTAATATTCATCTTCACGTGGCTTATTTTTTATATTAATTTTACTGTCTCTTTAAAGACTTTATTTTTTAAAACTATGTATTTGTTTATATAACTGTATATATCACCTTTTTTGTCTCTTTCAAGCCTACGTATATTTTACACACATTGTAAACTATTACATCTGAATCTGTCTTATTGTGAATCTATTGCTTTAAACTGCAGCAGCTGTGGCTGCTGGCTCCGCCCACCTCAGCTTCCCAACGTTTACCTCCAGCTCTGGGAGCTATCGTGGGTCTATGCTTTTATCCAAGCAGCATGTAGCCCAGAAACCTCTTTTTTTTGTTTTGTACTAATAAAGGCTAAATCCACCACGCAGCTTAATGTGCCACTTGCAGAGGCCTCATTCCTGCCATACTGCAGATCGAGCGCACACGCTAGGAACCCACCAGTAGTTTAAACCGACAGGTGCTGCTCATTTGAGAGAGACAATTAGGAAGCTGTTTTTAGCTCCATTTTAAAATCTTTTTTCTCAGTTTTTAGGTGGAAACTCTTGCCCCACGTTGGACGCCATTTGTAGCTTGAGTTTTCCTGCCTGGCCCACAGTCAAGACAAATCTCTCTCACCTGCCAGTCCCACAGCCGCTCAAACCTGACCAAGTAAATGCAGAGACTTATATTGGTTACAAACTGTATGGCCATGGCAGGCTTCTTGCTAACTGTTCTTACAGCTTAAATTAATCCATTTCTATAAATCTATACCTTGCCACGTGGCTCGTGGCTTACCGGCATCTTCACATGCTGTTTGTCATCATGGCGGCTGGCAGTGTCTCTCTGACTCAGCCTTTCACTTCCCAGCTTTATTCTCCTCCTTGTCCCGCCTACACTTCCTGCCTGACCACTGGCCAATCAGTGTTTTATTTATTGACTAATCAGCAACATATTTGCCATACAGAACATCCTACAGCATGGAGACAAGCAGATCCCTGCCTGGGCTTGGTGGCCACCAGCCTAACCTGCCTTAGGCCCCAGTGAGAAAACCCTGTGTACAAAAGCAAGGCGGATGGCTTCTGAGGAATAAATAACACTTCTGGGTGACCTCTGCCGTCTGTATCCCACACCCACACACAGGAAACATGTGATGACTTGATAAAAAATTTCACTCTTAAATTACCTATCTGGATAAAGGACATATCATACATATATTTATTTATTTATTTATTTATTTATTTATTTTAATTTGGCAAAAGATTCTGAGCAGCTCCAACTCTAAGCATGGTAAATAAACATGCAAAACTAGGACTTTGAACTGTATGCTAGACTTTTATGAGTCATGCTTTCAGAGGGGTTTTAAGTAACTATAAATTGAAAATAATTTTTAAAAATTTAATTAAAACAAAATTACATTATTTCCCCCTTCTGTCCTGCTCCCCTACCAAGTCCACCGCTTTCTCTTTAGCCATTGGCATTACACATCCGTACAGACACATAAACATATAAATACACATACATACAAACACATAAACATAAATACACATACATATAAACACATAAACATATAAATACACATACATATAAACACATAAACATAAATACACATACATACAAATACATAAACATATAAATACACATACATACAAACACATAAACATAAATACACATACATACAAACACATAAACATATAAATACACATACATACAAACACATAAACATATAAATACACCTACATACAAACACAAACATAAATACACATATATACAAACACATAAACATAAATACACATACATACAAACACATAAACATATAAATACACATATGTGCAGACATATAAACATATAAATACAGCCCGCTGAGTCAGTTCAGCATTGCTTGCACGCACAAGTTTCTAGGACTGACCTCTTGGTATTGAATAACCAGGGGCCTCATCCTTGGGGAAGACTCATTCTCCCCTTTCAGCTTGTAGGTCTTCATCTATGGGTGGGGCCTAGAGATTTCCCCATCTTCACTGGGATGCCAGCTGTTGTTGGAATTGTTCACGTCTTCTTTAGGCAGCCATGTTGTGTCGCTTCCCTGTCATAGCTAGAGGACACACTTAAGCAGACTTTCTACTCCTCTGGCTCTAAAAAATCTTTCCACCACCTCTTCTGGGATGTTCTCTGAGCCTTAGATGTAGGTGTTGTGTTGTAGCGTTTATCATTTGGGCCTTTGACAAGTCATGTCTGTCTGTAATGATTTGCTACTGCTGCTGCAAAAAGAAGCTTCTTTGATGAGAGGTGAGATCTATGTTTACCTGTGGGTATAAGGATAAGTATTTAGAATACAATTAGGAACTACATTAGTTTAGGTAAATGGGAGTTGTAGGTTCTCTAAGGTCCAGGATCTCGTTAGCCAATGTAGTTGACTAGGTTTACAGCAGCAAGCATGATTTCCCTCCTGTTAAGCAGGCCTTGAGTCCAATTAGACAGCTGTTGATTACTGCCAGGATATGAATGCCACTTCTTGCTATGTGGTCACTGTTGTGGTATCACAGCTGGGTAGGACTATTGGTTGCTTCCTCCCTTAGCTTATATATTAACTTCTTGTACTATGAAAGGATGCTCAAGTCCTCTAAGGATGTGATGTCTTCAGCAATCTGGACTTACCTTCAGCTTCCAGGAGGTAACTAAGTAGAACTACCCTATCTTGTTATTGGGGCCTCTCGCACTCTTCTGACCAGCAACTTAAAAGGAAGTTTCTCATGCTTGGTGCTAGGGGCTTTGCTAAATAGTCTATGGTTCTTGGTGGGGTACAATAACCCCAAGTGGTGTAACTTCATCTAAACTATATACATTTGCATACATATACACTTAGGTGTAATTTTAGGTCAATATAAAATAACACTTAATGTTATTAAACCATTACTAATAATTATTATTACATCATTTCCTATGTCATTTTTAAGCATTCTTATTTACCCCTCCTCCCTCTGGCTCCTTCCGTATTGTTTTCCCTCTTCCTCCTCCCCAGTTGAGGACCCCTTCCCCATTTTCCCTCTGTATTACCTGCCATCATCTCACTAGAGTACCCCTCACCCCATCCCCACATCTTATTCACTTTCCTGGCTTCTGCAGTTTCTCTAGGTCACTGCTTCTCAACCTTCCTGATGCTGTGACCTTTTAATACAATACCTCATGTTGTGGTGGCCCCAACCATAAACTTATTTTGTTGCTACTTCACAACTATAATTTTGCTACTGTTATGGATCATATTGTAAATATTTGATATGCAAGTTGAGAACCGTAACTCTATATATTCACATCTAGGTTATATATTCACATCTAAAGATTTGGAGCTAGGAACCATGGGTGAGAGAGAATATTCAGCATTTGTCTTTCTGTGTCCGGGTTACTTCACTCAGTATATTTTCTAGTTCATCCATTTACCTGCACATTTTATGATTCGAGGTTTCTTTTTCTTTCTTTCCTTTTTTTTTAAATAGCTGAATTGTATTTCATTATGGATATGTGCCATATCTCATTGTCCATCAGTCAAAGGCCATATAGGCTGTTTCCATTCCCTAGCTATGTGAACATTATTGAGCAAGTACTTGTGAAGTACGATGGAATTTTAGCTCTCCTGTTTGTATTCTTGGATATTCAGTCACCAGAATATTCTTTCCAAAAACTGCATTTTTATAGACTTTTAAATAAAAAATCAAATAAAACATTTTCTTTCTGTGTACCTAGATGTTTTACATCCTCTACCAGTATACGTTTAAAATACAATTCTGAGGGTCAGGGCATGTCTCCTTAGTAGTATGTTCAGATTCTCTGCTCGAGAGCATTGCTTCTCCTGGGGATAAATGCCTTCCTGGGCTAGATCCGTGTGAGTAACCTGGTAAGGTCTGCACTGTCGAGCCTGATTCAGTTGGTTGCTGACTGTTCAGGAAGCAGGACTGCTGGAGCGTCCCGGCAGCACTGTGAGCCAGGAGCAGCAGAGAAAGTGGATGGAAGACTTGAGTAAACAAGGAGAAGAGGACCAGCAAAGGAAAACCGAGGAGAGAATGACACATTCAAAGGTAACTCGGCAAGTCTGTGGCTTCAGTGGAAGTGAGAGTCCAAGTCTTTACTCACATAAACTTACAAATATTTTGAAACTGTTGGGCAAATTAAACATTTATCCTTTATGAAACTTTTCATAGAATGCATTTAGTGTGCTTTTACATAGCTTTTTAAAACTTTAGAAATGAATTTTAAAAAAATTCCTAAGATATCTAATTACAGAATCAAAAAATACAATTTTGTTAGTTATTATGATGTATATACTACTTGACTTCTCTCCTTTTTGAGATTTGATTCACTTTTATTTTTATAGGTGTTTGCCTGCATATATGTCTACACCACATGTGTATAGTGCCCGAGGAGGCCAGAATAGTTAGAATGCCCTGGAGCGAGAGTAACAGGCAATTGCTAGCAGCCATGTGGGTGCTGGGAACAGAACCCAGGTCTCTTCTTGAATGAGCAGCCATCTCTCCAGCCGATCAGTGTTTGTCATTGATAATTTTTATGGGAGTAGTTGAAAAAGTTCTGAGCATTTCTCATTTGTCACTGTTAGGGCGAGGACCATGACAGATGGGCAATGCATTTTGATTCGTTAAAGAGTCTTCCTGGGTCTCAGTCTCGGCTGTCCTGTCAGTTACCACACCAACACCCGGAGTCCTTTTGTGTCTCTCCTGACACTCAGGAGCTGGCCGATGTCAACAGTGTTTACACACCTCCACCTGCTGTCCAGGTGGAACTTTCAGAGGAAGAACAGCAAGCCAAACCTGTTCCAGATATGGCTGTGTCATATAGTCAGAAAACAAAGTAAGTTGACTTTAGTGTTTAGTCCTTTAGAAAGTGTATTCAATCGACTAGAACTGTCACTATGTCCAGTAAGTTTCAGGTTTCAGTTTGGCATTTTTCTCTGAAATAGAAATGATGAGCAGATGTAACTTGAGCAGGGGGAGCAGGGGGGAATGGTTAACCTTTCTGGCGTTTGGCGTTTTGAATAACTAATGTATGCTTCACAGCTTTCTCCGTTCTATGACTGCACTCCTGGACCCAGCACAGATTGAGGAGCGGGAAAGACGCCGGCACAAACAATTAGAACATCAGGTATCACACTGTAAAACACCTGGTGTTTCCATATTGTGCCTCACATTGTAAAACATTGTTCTTTGCCTTAGTAAGTCATGATGGCCAACATACACCTAAGTAAATGGAAAATTGAATTTTTTTCCCCCTGAGAGGCTTTAATGTAGTTTAGGCTGGTCTTGAACTTGATATGTAGCCAAGACTGGTCTTGAATTCTTGATCTTCTGTCTCTACCTCCCAAATCCCAAAATTACAGGCATATACCACCACACACAGCTGGAAATTCTGATAGAAATTTTCAGCTTGGGTCCAGTTATATCTTGCTGTAAATCCAGTCTTTTAACACAACTGGTATCATTTTAGACTTAAGCTTGGGCTGAGGACTAGACAGTATTATTGCCATGCTGCCTGCCTTCTGGTGGAGCCATTAAATGAGTATGTTGTATACATGACTTTGTACTATTATTAAATATTGGCTACTTCCTCAGAGTTCTGTTCAGATCTTTGAAAGAAAACATACCAAAAAAAAAAAACTGAAGTAGACTTCTGACTAAGCAATCTAGTAGGTAATATAAGGCTGAGATTAAAACTCATCTCAGTCTGACGTTAGAGGGACTTAATGGTCTGAGTGACTTTTTGTGGTTCTCTTTTCTCTGAAGAGTTTGTGTGTTGAAATGAGCCCTTGCCATGTTGCTCAGATGTGGCTTAAACATTTTCTTACCTGGTCTTCTGAGTAGCAGGGGCCACAGATAGGCACTCAACACATAGCACTGTATCCAACACTCAGCACATAGCAGTGTACTTAGCACATAGCGCTGTGCCCAGCAGATAGGCACTCAGCACATAGCACTGTGCCCAGCAGATAGGCACTTAGCACATAGCACTGTGCCCAGCAGATAGGCACTTAGCACATAGCACTGTATCCAACACTCAGCACATAGCACTGTGCCCAGCAGATAGGTACTCAGCACACAGCACTGTTCTAGGTTCAGCAGTTCTTTTAAACATTTTGTGAGTAATTTGGCCCAGGTAGTTTTCTTTTTTGAACTCAGTGAAAAGCTGAGCACATCTCCCATTTATCAGTCAGGGTAGTGAGTACTGAGGTAATTTCTTTTTTTTTTTTTTTTTTTTTGGTTTTTCGAGACAGGGTTTCTCTGTGTAGCTTTGCGCCTGTCCTGGAACTCACTTGGTAGCCCAGGCTGGCTTCGAACTCACAGAGATCCGCCTGGCTCTGCCTCCCGAGTGCTGGGACTGAGGTAATTTCTTTAGTTGATTCATTTTTGTGCTACACATGCTAGGTAAGCACAGTTCTCCCCCACTCCATTGTGTGTGTGACTGATAAACGGGTGCTCCATCAGTTTTGATTTGTGACAGTGACTTGTGATTACTTATGACTAGAAAGCAATTATGGCTCAGGTGGAAGAGAACCGCAGGAAGAAGCGGCTGGAAGAAGAACAGAGGAAGAAGGAAGAGCAGGAAGAGGAGCAGCGCTTGGCTCGGGAACGGGAGGAGATGCAGAGGCAGTATGAAGAGGACATTCTTAAGCAGAGACAGAAGGAAGTGGGTACTTGTATGGTGGAAGTGATAAAGAGGCTGGTGTGAACCATTACATTAATTGAGACATTACAGCTAAGGAAGGGAAGGCTTGGCAAGGTCACACTCCTCAAATGGTCCAGATCTCAGATGCTGCATGCTTGGCCTGTTAATGGGAGGTGGTCAGGGTAAACACAGCACCAAGCTTCATTATGATCTGGATAGTAGATACATAGAACCTTCTAATAATTCTAGGTATTGGGCCCACAGGATGGCTCAGCAGGTAAGGGGTGTTGACCACCAGTACCTGGAACCCATGTTCCAGAAGAGGATTCGGAAAGTTAATTTATAATCTCCACACACATACTGTGGTACAACCATTACCACCTCCTCATCCCTAAATAAATCTAAAGTAATAATGATTCTAGATATTAAAAAAGAGTAGTGATTGGCTGGGATTGCTGGTGAAATTCCTGGCTGAGTTAGGAGCTTCCGTTAGGCTTGGTAATAGTCTTTTCAAAGAGTTGATGTCTTGTCTAGCAAAACTCTATGTTAGCGATTCAGATAGGGTAGGTAGGGTGGTCCCAGTGCTGTGTCTGAGCTGACCTGACCATGCAGACCATCCAGTGATATTTCAGTTGTCAGCTTTAAAAATACCGAGTCTGCACTTCCTTGCCAGTTTTTACTTGATACCCTTCAGAAATGGGGTGTGGAAAGGTATGGTCTGCACTCCAGTTTCATTGAGTAGGCTGTGACAGCTGGCTTGGTGGTGCACACCTGTAATCCCAACATTTGGGAGTTGAAGGACAGCCTGGTCTACACGATGAGACCCTGTCTAATAGCAAGAACAAAAGCATGTTAGAACTGTAATCTCTAAAAGGCCCTATTGACTGTCCTTCAGCTGCTATCTAGACCAGTGCCTGCTAGGTAAGGGAAAGCTTGAGCATTTGTACTGAATGGGAACAGTCACTTCATTGAATGTCCTTGGTAATTGTTTCACGGTGTATGTCAATCTTGATAGGAAATCATGACTCTAAAGACAAATGAGCTATTCCACACAATGCAGCAAGCTCAGGAGTTGGCACAGAGACTGAAACAGGAGCAGAGGATCCGAGAACTGACTCAGAAAGGACATGATGCATCCCGGCTGATTAAAAATCTTGGCGGTAAGTGACTAATCAGATTTTTATTCATAGTTTTGATTCTGAAGATGATTTTAAATACTTGCCTACTTTAAATCCTTAAGAACACACATATTAACTAAATATTTTTAAAGGAACATAAGCTTTTCATCTAACCCATCTTTAATAATTTAGAAAGCTGTCTCGAAGTATTACACATTGCAGTATCTTTTTCACAGAAAATTTCACAGTAATCCAGACATAGGTAAAATGTGTACTTTACTATTCATTCTTAGATTTTTAAATTCAGCAAGGGCTAAGAATATAGGTAACTTTTAATAATAAATTTAGGCTATACTATTAAGTCTAGCCTTGCAAAATTTTTCCTACAGTTTATGGTGATTAAGTCAAAAAGTCTTTAACTGCTGCAGTACCTTTGGCTTTTAGTGCAAGGGCTCAAACCCAGGGTCTTGGGTGGTAGGCAAACACAGCCGCCCAGCTGTGTCCCCAGCCCCCACATGGACTTTGTTGGTACTCTTCCATGTCATTTAAGACATTCCATGTCTGTTTCTCATTGCTATTTGACACAGCACAAGTGGATTATAAGGCATCCACTAATGTTTCCAGTTCAAGAAGTGATGCTAAGGAGGCTGCTGATGAAACTTCCACAGCCTCTCCCAAGAAGGACACCGGAGTGCAGACAGGTATTCATGTCAAGGGTTTCTTGTTCTGTTTCTGTCTAAAGTGAAGACATCGCAGGGGTTGTTGTCTTTGCAATAGTGTCTCTCGTAGCCAAGGGTGACCTAGAAATAATCCCACCTGTGGAACACTGGCATTACAGGGATGTAGCACTGTGCCCTTTCATGTGACACTGGGTACTGAGCCCAGGACATAGTGCATGCTAGGCAAGCGCTTTACCAAACTGAGCTACAGTTCCACCTAGAAATTTGAGTTTTTAACAAAATAAAGGGATCTTTTGACTTTTTAGTTTTGGATTAATTGTGTGCTCTAATTCACATAACATATTAAGTTCTCCCCCCTCTTTTCTTTGTAGTTCAGAGAATAAGGGCCTTAGACTTTCTAGGCAAGCACTCAACCAGTTAGCTAAATATCTAGCCCAAATCTTACCCATATAAGGGGCACTATTTGTTGCTGGTCTGGAATTCTCAGAAATCTTGCTGCCTCTCCCTCCCAAGTTCTACTATTAAAGGCATGCAGCCAGGCGGAGGTGGCCCACACCTTTAATCTCAGCACTCAGGAGGCAGAACCAAGTGGATCTCTGCGAGTTCTAGGCCAGCCTGGTCTACAGAGCGACATCCAGGACAGGCACCAAAACTACACCAAGAAACCCTGTCACCAAAAACAAAAGCAAACAAAAAAGGCATTGCACACTGTGCCCAGCTCTGTTTGGTGTTCTTTAACATACTCACACTTGTGCAGTTACCATCACAATTTTAGAACCTTTTCAGTATTCAAATTGATTTTCTATGAAAGATGCTTTTTTTTTTTTTTTTTTTTTTTTGGTTTTTCGAGACAGGGTTTCTCTGTGTAGCTTTGCGCCTTTCCTGGGACTCACTTTGTAGCCCAGGCTGGCCTCGAACTCACAGAGATCCGCCTGGCTCTGCCTCCCAAGTGCTGGGATTAAAGGCGTGCGCCACCACTGCCCGGCTGAAAGATGCTTTTTTTTGGGTTTTTTTGTTGTTGTTTTTCGAGGCAGGGTTTCTCTGTGTAGCTTTGGAGCCTGTCCTGGAACTCACTCTGTAGCCCAGGCTGGCCTGGAACTCAGAGATCCTCTTGGCTCTGCCTCTGGAGTGCTGGGATTAAAGGCGTGCGCCACCACCGCCTGTGCCAGCACCATGCTTTTTAAAAATACGAATACATCACCAATTTGCGTGTCATCCTTACACAGGGGCCATGCTAATCTCATTCCAGTTTTAGTGTAGGTGCATTGGTATTGAGCACAGGACTCAATGAGTAACTCACAAATAGGGACTCTTCCACTCTCTCCAGTTCATTGTGTCCATACTTTTCATGTAACCAGAATTATGTTTGTAAGTGGTCTTTTGTGCCTGGCTTACTGACTTCAGCGTGATATATGCATTTATGCCTATTGTAGATCTTATGACACAATTATACTGGATTTTGTTCTATGAACATTTCGATTATTTCTACTTAGGACTATTATAAACAGTGCCACTGTGACTAGTTAAAAAAAATTTTTGTGTAAATGTTTTCTGTTCTCTTAGGAAAGAGGAGTTAGAATTTGTGAATTATGTGATAGGTGTATTAAGCATTTTGGGGAGCTGCTGAACTGTCATCCAAAGCACCTATTTTAACAGCAGTATAGAGGTGTTCTTATCTCTCCATGACCTTACAACACTTAGATTCTGATCTGCATTACCCCAGTGACTGATATTGCATGTATTTTCATGTGCTGGTCTTAAATTTTAAATAACACAATATCCACCACATTGGACACTCCTGAACAAAAAGGGATTTGTAATTTAGTGTATATACGTATAGGAGTGGGTGGGCAGGCTTGTGTAAAGGAGTGCAGTGCCCATGGAAACCAGAAGGTGGTGTCAGATTTCCTGGAGCTGGAGTTATAGGTGGATAGGTGCTGGGAACCAAACTTTAAGGGCAGGACTGGTAAGTGCTGAGCCAGTTCTTCAGCCCCTAGGTTTGGAGACTTTTTGAGGCAAGACCCGCAGACATCTTTAACTCTTCAGGAAAACCCTTCTTGTTTTATTTTCTCAGTTCCATGAAGTTATCTTTTCCCATTTAAAACTAGTTATAAATGGGCCTTCCTGAAGTATTTGTTTATAGTTCCTGATGGATCCTAAAGTAGCTTCTAATATGAAGCCAAGAGATCACATTACCTAGGCTACTCTAACATTGTACTGTGACATACTTTTCCTGGAGAGATGAAACTATCTTATCCCAGAGAGGAAGCCCAAGATATTAGAGTAACAACTGTTATCAATGTTCCATTGGTGAACCATTCAGTTTTTATTACTAACAGGAATATGGCTAAGGGGTTACTGTTGAGGATCAGAGATAATTCACAAGCAGCTACATCACCAAAGAGCCCACCCCAAAACTGGTGTCCATCCCTGAAAGCTGCAACCTGGAGCTCTGCACAGCTTGCAGACAGCTCCACAGCAGGACTCTCTCCTCTGCAGTTTTGCTGGGCAGTCTCCTCCAGCAGGGGTTTCTTTTTACATAGTGCTCTTTTTTTTTTTGGGGGGGGGGGGGTTCCGAGACAGGGTTTCTCTGTGTAGCTTTGTGCCTTTCCTGGAATTCGCTTTGGAGACCAGGCTGGCCTCGAACTCACAGAGATCCACCTGGCTCTACCTCCCGAGTGCTGGGACTAAAGGCGTGCGCCACCACCGCCCGGCTATATAGTGCTCTTTTTATATAGTCCCTCAAGAATCTTCAAGATTTTTCTCTCATACATGTGTCCTTTTATTTCCCTCCTAGGGCTCAAGAGCCTCCCCTTCTTTCCTGTAGGAAACAGCCATAAACACATCACTATTTTCTGCCTGTTACTTGAGATATTCTATTAGTTCAGTATACCAGACTAGCCACAGTTCATTTGAAGGGATGGTGATAACTGGTGATAGGGCATTGTGATATTTGTGGTGCCACTCAAATGCATTCTTAAAATTGCTTTGTTAATGGTAATGTTGAATGTTGCGCCTGCAGTAGAAAACAGTATAGCAGTTGCTCAAAAAAATGAATAGAATTCGATTTTTAGGTTTACACCTGTAGAAAGTTGGGATTCACAACAGCATTTCTTAGGTTGCTTCCAACCTAAGTATCTATGTAGATGAACAAAATTAGGCCTATTTTATACAGTGGAATTAGCATAAGGAAATTCTGACATGTATCTAACTACACGTTATAAACTCTGAGAATTTTATACTATTTGAATAAGCCAGTCTATTTAAATTCTTTTACTTTTTATACGGTGTCTGGGCTGGCCTGGAACTTGCTTCCTGAAACTCTGTAGACCAAGCTGGCGCTGAACTTGTTCCAGTCTTCTAATTGTTGGGATGATAGGTGTATAGCACAAAGCTCTGTTTATATGGGCTATTTGGAATAGACATTTCTAGAATATCCAAACTGAATAGTGTTACCAGCTTTTTTTGAAAGGGAGCAGTTCTTTAATGGGTAGCTTCATTTTGAGGATTGAATTCCTAGGGATGGAAGAATGGCACAGCAGGTAAAGGTGATGCCACCAAGACCAAGAACCCTAGTTCCACCCTTGGAATTCACATGGCAGAAGGAACCAACTTCCACAAGTTGTCCTTTGACTCCCATGTGCATGACCCACCAACTAATAAAGTCATTAAGTATCTTTGAGAAAAGTGTATTTCTACTATGTTTTTAAAATTAATCATTTGGAATTTTTATTTAGATGACTTAAATTTAGGAAATTTCAGCGATGCACTACCACACTGTGGATCATTAACAGAGAAGGGCATTAGAAACTTTTCTTCTCCAGAGATTTCTGCAGAATTTAATGGACAGATTAGCACTAAAAAAGACAAGCAAGAACTAAGTGTGGATAAAGGCACTAATTTAGACAAAGAAAACAGCTGGTATAATGGCCAGTGTAATCAGTATAGAAGAACAGAGAAACAAACAAAACTTATGAAGAAATGTCCCAAAAAGCCTGCTTGGAATATAAATAAGCCTCTCAAAAGGTATGTTCCTGCATCAGCAAAGTACCCTGTCCATCTCCAGAAGGAGAAAGAAGAAAAAAAGGTAAGAAGGCAGATGGAGCTGCTTCACTTACTAGAAAGAAACCACCCTGAGAACCTCTCCCAAAACAGAGGCACTTCACCAGAAGTTCTTACTTCATCTCATCGAGAAACTGAGTCAGAGATCAGGTTGCATCTAATCAAAAAGGTAAGACTCTTTTATTTCATTACTATGTAGTAATGTTTCTGAATTCAAAGTAGTTGCCCAGCCGGGCGGTGGTGGCGCACGCCTTTAATCCCAGCACTCGGGAGGCAGAGCCAGGCGGATCTCTGTGAGTTCGAGGCCAGCCTGGACTACCAAGTGAGTCCCAGGAAAGGCGCAAAGCTACACAGAGAAACCCTGTCTCCAAAAAAAAAAAAAAAAAAAAAAAAACTAAAGTAGTTGCCCAAATCCATGCTTTCAGAAGGCTGTGGTTCATCTAAGTAGGTTATAGAAAATTATGTTAGCGGTCAGAGGAAGACAGCCATGCTTGTTATATGAACTGACTGACTGTTGTATAACACCTGAACTGAGCAGCTGCATCAGAGACTGTAGCCCCAAAAGCCAAATCTTTATGCAGATGAATGCTTCTTTATTCAAATGCATATGAAAATGTCACATACATAAAATAAAATACTACTCAGTTGTAAAGAAAAATGAAATTAACCCTATCTCAAAAAAAAAAAAAGCCAAAACAAAAGCTTATAATTTAACATGTAAGTACACATAAAAGTATAGTATACAATTTAGGAGACCAAAGAAATAATAGGTAATTAAAGGGTGGAATGTAGGCAGGATACATGAATTCTGAATGAAGATACAAAGTTTTGTTTTGCTTTTTGTAGTAGACAAGTGAGTAAAATCATGGTAGTGAGTATAACCCTAAACAGAGCCAGGTGTGATGGGGCATGTCTTTAATCCCAGCACTCTGGAGGCAGCTAGGGAGTTTGAAGACAGCTTGTTCTACACAGGAAGATCTAGAGACCCTTCTCAGAAAACACAAGAAAAAAAAAAAGAAACCTAAGCAAAGCTCCAGAATGGTCCTCCTGACTTAGAAGTTCACTGTGATGTAGTTTTGGGCTGATCAAGTGTGTTAGAGTACTTTCCTCAAAGTAGATGTATGAAGTTTTTGTGAATCAGAATACTGTGACTTTATTAAAACAATAAAACTCATATATATTGTCCATGTAGAAAGGAATTACTGGCTTGGTCCTATACTGTATCGCATACAGTATTCTTATTTAAATATGCCCAGCTTATTTAAGCATGTCTGAGAAGTTGGTGAGAAAGCTCAGCAGGTGAAGGTGCCTGCTACAAGAGCCTGATGACCTGAGACTGAGACCCGTGTTACTAGGACAGAAGCAGTTCTACGTTGTCTTCTGACTTGCATGCACATATACAATGTTTGAGAATATCTGGAGACATGTGAAAATGTCACTCTGTGTTTGCTTGTGTTATCCATCTTTTAGGTAGAAGAACCTCTGAAAACTCCTTCCGTTATTAAAGAAAGGTATGTGTATTACTTCCTTAGCTCCTTAGTGCTTTTTTGTGTGGGAAACAAAATACCCATTCAAAATCTGGATGACAGTTCCATGTGCACATAAAGGCAGGATAGGAAAGGATAGGATAGCAAAGAGGTATAGCTGGCTTTCATTGAGTTGGTAAATGTTTAATATAGAGTGGGTTTTAGCTGGACTGGACCTAAGCAGGTTTGACTTTTCCATGTCTATCAACACTGGAATAGGCATTCAGATAGGGAAATAGATTGGTTAAAACCAGCATTTTAAAAAAAAAAAAATCCATTTAATTAGGTGGAAGGTTTAGGCTTGTTAATTTTTATTCTTTATCTTTGTGTATAACCAAACTGGTTTTAGATTTGTCTCACAATCAGAGCTCTAACACTAACTTTAGTTCAGATAGCACAGGCATAATTTCATAGTAAATCAAGTAAAGAGAAATGAGGTTGAATCCACCCAACACTGACTCTTAGAATCTAACAATTTAAATTAAATACCCCCCCACCGTGTATCTCCATTGTACTGTTTTATGAAAAATTACAGACCTTAGATTGTTATATCTAGTATTCCTTAAGGTAGACCAGACATATCTTAAATGAACTGCAATGTGTTAGATGTGTTGAAAATAAGCAGTTTCTAGGGGCCAAAGAGATGATGGCTCAGCAGTTAAAAGCACAGCCTGTTTGCTGCTCTTCCAGGGGATGTAGGTTCATTTCTCAACACCCACATAGTGACTCAGAACCATCTATGACTCTAGTTCTAAAACATGTAATTTCTTATTAAAGTTTGGGTTTTTGTTTTTGTTTTTTGATAGGTTTCAGTCATCACCAGCAGTAAAGAGTAGAACTCAACAAACTCAGACTAATTCATTACACTTACCACTAAAAAATAGTGACTATGAAAAAGAGAATCTGACCTTAGGAGATGGTCAAACTAAATTATCAGATGAGCTGTCTGAGACATCTCATTTCATTCCCTACGTTCGAACAAATGAGATCTATTATCTTGATCCGGATGCACCCTTGTCTAGGCCTTCAACCCAGGACAACCAATACCAAAAATCTCATGGTAAGTTAAGTAGCATTTGAAGATGAGGGGCTAGAGATGGCTCAGTGGTAAAGAGTGCCCTATTGTTCTTTCAGAAGTTTGGTTCCTAGCACCCACATTAAGTGGCACAACGCCACCTAACAACTCCAGCACCAGGGTGATTTCAAGCCTTTCAGCTCCCACAGGCACCAGTACTCACATGTACACACATAACTTAATAAATTCCCAACCCTAAATGCTTCAACATTAGTTAGTCTATGAAAGATTTAACACACTACAGCTATTAGTAATTTGCTTAACTGTTTTAAACCTTATCTCTATCCTTCAGATTGTGAGCAACAACAAGAGCTATTTGACTCTGACCATACCAAGGATCCACTTCTTAATCCTAGATTGGTGAAAAACAGGGATCGACAGCAAGCTATCCTTAAGGGGCTTTCAGAATTAAGACAGGTATGAGCTTTTCACCAAGCAGCTATTTAGATGTTTAGATGCTTGTTCTCTCTATATGGTGGCAGTATTTGCATCCTAAGAATGAAAGTCCTGAGACAGTTTGGATATTATGACAATTTTTATTTAAAAATATGTACATTTAAACATCAAAACACAATAAAGTGCTAAAACCAAAGAAAGAAACAAATACACAATTATGCTTTAGTGAATTTTAACCAATATGGTCCATTCTTTTTTTTTAAAGTTTAGAACAGAATAGATCTGTTCAAAGAATGAAATTATATACACGGAGCTATTCACCAGACTTTCCCCCCATCCCTGTGATTTTTACATAACCTTTTATACAGCCAAAAAAAAAAAACAACAACAACAACAAAAAAAAAACCCTATAATGTGCTGAAACCTATGCAGGGGCCTATTAGACTGTATTTGAGAAGAATTTCGCTCATGTGTTGCTTATCCTACCTAAAACTAGAAAACTACTCAGACCCATTTACTTGTATTCTTTAAGTGTAACCTCTGCTTACATACAGTTTGAGCATGTGACTAAACCTTGGTAACTCACCCAAAGGAACAAGAGAAAGGAGTGTGATTTCACACTTCACCCTAACCCTTACACTGTTTTGGACAGTAAGACCCTCGTGTCTTCTCATGATATTAAGAGCACTTGAGAATGGATTTCATTTGAAATCCACAGTTGCAGTATTTTTTTTTTAAAGCAATCATCCCTGTTTGTATAGTAGAAAATACTCTAGATAGGTAACACCAGGACAAGGAGGTCCACTATAAGAATTAGTAAAAAAGATGCAACTTGAGCTATGTCCAATAACAATTCTATCCTGAACTCAATAATTTTTCTCTATCTTGTATTTAAGTTGGCTATACACCTTCACTAAACTATCAATGTGATTGCAGGGTCTTCTCCAGAAACAAAAGGAGTTGGAAACGAATCTCATACCCTTAACTGCAAACCAAGAAGATAATTTTAGTTCTTCGTTTTAAATGTGCTCACTACTCAACTGCATTATTCAAGCACCCAATGAATAACTTCACATTATGTAGTGAAATGCTGTATTTTTTAAATATAATAAAACAGTTTATAGTTAAAAAAAAAATGATCTCTGTCATACTAGGGTGTAAAAGTACTTTCTACTTACCATAATAGAGTCTGGAGATCCCTGACCTGTTAACATTGTTGCTTGTTTGTTCTGTAAGAGGTTCTTTTAGGGCATGAGAAGTACTATTAACACTAGACTCTTACTGAAATAACTCAAATTCATTTTAGAATCCTGTGGTTTTTCTTTTCTGTAAATTCTGTTTTCACTATATTAAAGGTAGAGATGCCCCAGTTTTCACAATATTGAAGTTAGCATTAATAACAGTAAGCAAGAGATGTAAGTTACATATGGGCTTGAAATTTCTCTCTACCATACAGTTTTTGTATATAGATTTAGTATAGCACTAAAGTGCCTAACTAGTTCTAATTAAGACCACCTCAAAGATCTGTTCCAAATTATCCAATGCCATTGAAAACAGAAGGCCCATTTTTAAACGTTCATTTGATTGACTATAGGATCGCACAAAACAGTATTTATCAAGGATCTCAAAGACTGACTAAAATTTAAGTGAAGCTAAATTTTTACACAGCTAAACCTAAAGATTGAGAAAATGCTACTTGGTATTATAGACACAGGTTTACTACCTAAAATGCAACTGCACTGTTAGGTATAGCTTGAGGTACTGAGCCAAAATCCTATAAATATTGACACTGCTGGCTTATACCTGTGTAAAAACACTATACAAAAGCTTTACTCAAAATAAATAATTGACATTTCAGCAAAATTAGTTATCATCTGACATTAAAGAAAGTCATTACTATTTACCATTCTTTTATAAACATCAAATTTTACATATAAAACAGACTTCAATTTGAAGCCCAAGTACAGGTAACAAATGTAAAACTGAAAGGTGCCAACATGAGATAATCTGATTACAGTATGTCCAAAAAATATATTTATTTCAATTTTCAGATGCTTCAAATGTTACAGGCCATCATGATTTAAGTGGGAAAGAAAAAAACATTTCATAAAGGTTAGGAAATTTGTTTTTAAATCATCAATTCACACTTTTAAGAAACTGGAAAAAGTCCACAACAACCTATTTTTTTTTCTTTTTGGTATGGTGGTGGTGGGGGTTTTACTGTAATTTATCTTTGGACACATCCTTAACTTAATGGAGATTTCTCTCTATCCAAGTTTTTGTAAGCAGATATAAAGTAATTTTCATTTTCTTGAGACTGAGTTGATGAAAGGGCATATGGTGTCCCCAGAAACGTCTGATGAGTGAGAACATTAAAATGACTAAACTGATGGGACATTTTTAATTGATTTTGATAAACCTGACCGTTGCTATATGAATCTTGTTCGGCTGAATTGCTGTTCTCTCCTTCAGAGCATACTCTATCAATAGGAGCTCTCTCTTCACAATCAATTTGGTAAGTCTTATCTTCTAATAAACTTTTTTGCACGTCAAGAGATGACTGCAATTCAATTTGAATATTCTGTTTTTGATCTGTTCCACTTGATCCTTTGGTCTCTCTCGCCAATATTTCTGAATGAAAACTGCTGAATACTTCTATATGTGAGATTTCATCCCCTGAATCCAGAGACATATCCTCTTCATCCTTTTCACCGTTTTCTAAAAGAGCTACATTTAAAAAACAAAAAGCCCTCCTCTATTGAAATACACAATTTGTTTAGTTTGTAAAATTTACACTACTCACACAACATAGTGCGTCAGGATCTGCAAAGTCCACAATCCCTTAAAGCTTGGTCTTCTGCCACAAGTTCACTTAGTCACAACACTCACACTAGGTGTGAGTGTCCAGATAATCCGATGCTAAAAGCTTCTGCGAAATGTGTTCACGTTTAATGTTGGGAAACCCCAACTCCCAGCTCCAAAGGGGTTAATGTCAAAACAGCATCTAAAGTTATACGGTAATTCAGTATTTCATAAGACAAATATAAAATAAAACTTCTGACATGTAGCTTCACTGAATTACTAAACTGGTTAGCTCTACTGAATGCTCAGTCATCTCTGCTTTTCACCAAAAATAATTTAAGAACAGCTTTTATTTTAAGATCTGGAACCAAGCAGAGGCCATCTCACAGAAGACTGAAGGTAAGATACCCTCACTACCTGTAATTAAACTAGCACATCTATCTGAAGACCTTTTGTAGCCCAACAATCCCTCTATCTGCCTGCCTTAATAAAAACTAACAGCAAACAGCAGGCAATACAGCTTATATACCCTCAAGAGGGAAAATTAATCCTCTAAGTATGTGCTATTCACAGACTAGATGAATGAACTACATAGTCTATACTAACAACTTGTACTGACTACAGTATAATAAATGGGCACATCTTGAAGTCCTACAGTGATGTCTATTATTGACACTGAGGTAAATGGTGTCAATAAACATTTCACTATTGGATAAACAAAACCATTCCTCATTCTACCTCATCTAAAGAAAACAAAAACCACTAAAAAGTTACCTGACTGTGACTCAAGATTCTCAATAGCACCAAGCAGCGGAAGACTTTCTTCTGTGACTGAGTTATGATATCCCACAAGACTTTTAAAGTTTTGCATAAAGTCTTCAGTAGTTGCAACTACAATTCCATTATCTGTATAACTGGAAACCATCTTGATAGTCTTCTCTAAATTAAAAAAAGAAAATGTACATAAACTGATACCTTCTGTCAAAATGCTTTCCATCATATATTCAGAATTATAATTTAACACCTACTCCAGCCCCCTGAAATTTCACTCACTCTTATATCAGCAAGAGCATGTTCCTACCTGTTAGAAAGACTATGTGTCGCTGCTGTATGTTCTGAGCCTGAAGCCTGATAAGGCAGTCCATTTCTGGAGCATTTCGAGTTTGTGAATCACAATTGTGATACGACAAAATCTCAACCAGATGTTTCTTCTGATATACATTTAGAAGAGACAGCAGACTCAGAGCTTTAGTATTCAATCTGTAAGATTAAGCAGAGTTCAGTACCTAGATACTGGCATTTTAAAATTCACTATGGAAAATTCTGCTTCAGTTAATTAAAAGTACTTCTCAACTGAGGAAACTAATAACCACAACAAGCTGCTGAGCTTACTGTTTGATATAAGAATGCTGGTTTAGGGGGGAAGGAAAAAAAATTGTGCATCTGACAAGCATGTTTTCTTTTGGGGGAGGGATCTTGTAATGCAGTTAGACTAAAACCTGAGCCAGTCATTCTATTTATTATTCTTAGCTTGATTAATCTTAAACGTTAAAGACATTAAAGAACAAAAAAGTTGGGCACAGTGGCAAGTCTATAATTGCAGCATTTCAGGAGGTGGATAGCCTATGCTACCTTGTCTCATAGACAAATAGAGTATAATTCTTCCTAACGTGGCTTTTAAGCTATTTATAATACTTCAAGGTAAAAACTGGAGATACACCTTTGGATACACTACATATGAACTTAAGACTTACCTTTTGTTTATTTCATGGGCTGTGAAAAATGAGTAAGTCTAAAAAAAGTTCAGTATTAGCCAGGTGTGTGTTACAAACTTTTTAAATTACAGCATTCAAGATGCTAAGGAAGGAAGACTGAGTTTGAAGCCATTCTGAATTATATAGTGAGACTGTCTCAAAAAAAAATTTTTTTTTTAAAGTTTTATTTATTATGTATACAGCATGTGTGACTGCATGCCAGAAGAGTGCACCAGATCTCATTACAGATGGTTGTGAGCCACCATGTGGGTGCTGGGAATTGAACTCAGGAGCTCTGGAAGAGCGGTCAGTGCTCTTAACCTCTGAGCCATCTCTCCAGCACCCCCACACACACAAAAAAAAAAAAATTTAACTACTGTACATAGCCAAACATTGGAATTATTTAACCCTGAATTTTCTGAAGACTGTCAGAGAATGTCAATAGGTGTTACAGTAATCAAAAGACCTGTGATCTAGAACTAGTTTTGGTGGTGTATGCTTATAATCCCAATACTTTGGAGGCAGAGGCAAACAGACTGCCCATGAGTTTAAGGCCAGCCTGGTCTACAAAGTGAATAGCAGGCTAGCTGGAGTTACATACAGCAAAAGGCCTAGCCTAAATCAAAGAGGGCAAAATTAACTTATAAAAATTGGGGACTGGGGGGAAAAAAAAAGGCTTGCAGACATGAGGACCCGATTCACATCCCCAGAACCCACACAGCTGTATATATCTACAATCCCAGCATGAGGAACAAAGATTGGCAGTTCATGAGAGCTCCCCGGCAAAGTGTAATTGATATGGTGAGCTTTTGGTTCAGGGAGAGACCCTGTCATACATCTATTAAGGTGGAGAGAAAGACAAATGACATCCTGCTCTGGCCTCTGAATGCACAGGTGAGTGTACTCCAACATGCACATGGCTCCACACACAAAATTCTATAGACTTACATTTAGGAAATTCTAGCTGATAAAAACCCTCTAATGTATAATTAATTACATTATAAAGACACTCTACAAACAAGACACAGCATCTCAACTTTACCATACTGTTCATGGAGCTTTTTAAGTAACTATTACTCCAAGAAAGTAATTTCCAGACATGCTAGAAACCACACGAACATCCGTATTATAAATCAGTGTTCTAACTGAACCCTGTCAGAATGAGATCAATCTTTGACTATTTGATTAGTTACCTAAGTATTTAACTTGGGACAGGGTTTGACTTAGACTGCAAATACAGATAAGTTTTTTGTTTGTTTGGTTTTTTTTTTTTTTTTTTTTTTTTGGTTTGTCAAGACAGGGTTTCTCTGTGTAGCTTTGGTGCCTGTCTTGGATCTTGCTCTGTAGAACAGGCTGGCCCCAAACTCACAGAGATCCACATGGCTCTGCCTTCCGAATGTCAGGATTAAAAGCATTTGCCAACACCACCAGGCTCACAGATCAGTTTTTAAATGGCTTTAAATGTGTCATCTACATCACAACCCTTTTCCTTAAAGCTTAGGGAACTATGTAAAACAGGGAGCAGAAATATCCTAAGAGCCACATGTTATGGAGTGCTGCTGAAAATTGCCTTCTGGACTTTTAACAGAGCTGTTGCATTCAAGAATGCACAATAGCTGGGGTTGCCTACCCAAGACTTGAACGACATCAAGCCAGCCAAAATCCCAGCATGTGTATGGATGATACTTTATGAGGTCCCACCCCTAGCTAAGGAACTACTGGCAGTTGATAGGGGTCTGGTAAGGAGTGTCATTTTTCTTCTATTAAGTGTGGGCCCTGATAAGATGCTTATGCTCAGCCGGGCGGTGGTGGCGCACGCCTTTAATCCCAGCACTCGGGAGGCAGAGTCAGGTGGATCTCTGTGAGTTCAAGGCCAGCCTGGGCTACCAAGTGAGTTCCAGGAAAGGCGCAAAGCTACATAGAGAAACCCTGTCTCGAAAAAAAAAAAAAGATGCTTATGCTCCAGTGGGCAGCCTAATAAAATAGCAGTATGTGGGCAACAGTAATTGGACTCTAGGTTATAAAGGAAAAAAGACATAAACTTGAGAGGATATGTTAAAATGGAGAGGCCTGGGAAGAGCTGGTTAAGGAGTAGATATGACCAAAATATATTGTGTGTATGTAAAATGTTGTATGATATTATCAGAGTAAATTAATATATTTCTAAAAGGCTGACATGTGTAGCCCAACATGTGCCTCAAATCTAGCATCACAAAAAAATATGTAGAAAATTTCTGATCTTTGTGATTATGCAGATCCACAAGCAGATTAAATCAATTCTACCTTTATATACTATGAGAATTTTACCAAATCGTCTATGTCAACAAGAATACCACTTCTTTAAAGAGAATGGAATAATTCAATATCTACACACATTTATTGTCTGTTGACATACATGAAAACTTCATAATCTACAAACCACAAAAAGGAAAAAGGTTTTTTGAGAACAATATTAAAACAACAATTATTCAAAATTTTCTGTGTCTTACCTGCCCAGTTCCTTCAGTTTCTTCTGGAATTTACAGTGGATTTTCCATTGCCATTTCCCTTCTGGAGTACTAAGTTCTTCAAGGAATGTCAAAAAATTTTTCAGGCTCTCTGTTAGAGACAATGAAATTCAGATTTTAAAGTCAGTATTAAACAGTCCATGCCATGCCTACATTTTGTAAGAAGTGCTTATTCATATTTATATAGATCTATTTTCAATGTACCATATATTTATCATCTTACTCTGAGGGAAAAAGGAACTCCTTATAGCCTTAAAACTCTTAAAACACAAACAAAACAAATGCCCAATAATGATACCACCACTGAAGTAGTCCACGTGCCATAGCAGGGGGTGTGTGTGTGTGTGTGTGTGTGTGTTTACATTAGGATGAAACACAAAATGGGTAAAATGCTAATTTATCTCTAAACCTATAAAGAATAGAGAAGAAAACTGAGGTGGCAAAAGCTCAGGAAAAGAGAGAAATAAGCCAGTTAGCTGCAAATGACACAATAGATAATACTTTATTTATTTGTTTATTTTCGAGACAGGGTTTCTCTGTGTGTAGCTTTGCACCTTTCCTGGAACTCACTCTGTAGCCCAGGCTGCCCTCGAACTCACAGAGATCTTCCTGCCTCTGCCTCCCAAGTGAGGGTACTAAAGGCGTGCATTGCCACCACCCGGCAATAATACATTTTTTAATCCCTTAGTTTAAATTTTCCCTGAAAACCTAGGGCAACCAAAACCCAGCAATAACATGCTAAAAATAACACACTCATTCTTACCAATTGTGACAACCTCTGGATTTAGAATTGATTCATCAGACACAATAAAGCCACCAGACACAAATAACTCATTGTATGTATGATTTTTAACATCATCCAGGCTATCAACACCAGCAAAACTAACACATGGGAGCGTCTTTAAAGTCACCAAGCCAGGTACCTGTTAAATAACAAACAAAACCAGAAATAGGATGGATAAATGAACAAATAAATATATTTAAGTATAGAATAACCTAAGAATAAAGTTTTAAAAAAATACACTATTGCTCATCATTGCCTCTGGAAAGTCACAAAATTAATATTTTAAGTATTACTTCCCAATATAAACCAATATGTATGAACAGAACACTAAGGGAAAAGGAGTTTACATTAGGCTGAAACACAAAATGGGTAAAATGCAAATGTATCTCTAAACCTATAAACAGCTAGAACTCAAAACTAGGAGCCAGGTGTGGTGATATCAATCTGTCATCCTACCTGAGATAAGGAGGGAGGAGGATTAGGAGGCCAGCCTGGGCTACATAGTTTGAGCCAATCTAGGCTACACAGGATACTGCCTTTAAAAAAAAAAAAAAAAATGGGGTGGGAGGAGAGCCTATGGTGCTAGGACAGTAATGAAAGGCTGATTTGTCCTCAGACCAGACAACATACTGCTAAATCCAAGGTAAATGGGGATTCACGGCAAAAAGTTTTATCTAGACATTCATATACAGATAACAGTACGAAGAGTTAGCAGAACGCCCCTCCCCTCTACATTCAAGAATCCAGCACATCTATTAATCTTAACTAATCTGAGTAACAGGGAAAATTCATAACATCCAACTCCTTCACATATACAATTCTCACAAGCTGGCTCTTGGACAAGTACTTAAGTTTTATTTTAAAAGTTTTGTTTTAAAATCTTCATTTTAAAACAAAAGCTTTGTTCTCAGAATAAGTTTTAACAATGGGGTAGTTTTAGAAAACAAATTAGTGAACTGGACTTAATAGTCTACCTTGTGAATGAAATCTGCAATGTCTTCATTTTGAATAATAATCAATAGTTTATCTAAGGTTGATCTTCTTTCCAAAAACTGATCTGGGTGACATTCTGTATTGCCTAATTTGGTAAGATACTCCTGTCAAAGAAAAACAACTAAATCAATATTAACAAACTTTTTAGCAAACATCAATTTCCAACATGAAAAATGAAACGTAAGCTGATAAGCTTTACCTAAGACTCTATGAACTTTAACTTTAGAAGATTGGGGAGCTCATCCTATCCACTCTTACAGTTTGAAGAAAGCATACGAAAGCTAAATTGCTGTTCGGCCAATGGGTCAGTCAGACTCTTGGCCCACTTACTTTCAGTAGTGTAGCCCCAGGACCTGGTCCTAGCAACTCCCTTGTCTCCCCTTTCCTTTCCTTAGGCTGGCTCTTAGTGATCTGTGACAGTATTACCAGAAATACTTCCCTTCAGAGCAGGTGTATGACCACTGAAGATTACTCAATCCAAAACAACTCAAAAATAATTCACGTGACATCTTTAGTAGGAGCAATGATATTTACATACTAATTTGGCCCTTTCTGTCAAGTTTCCATCTTCAAATACAGCACTACCTTTTCACAGGACACATAGTTAATCCTTGATGAGCTCCCTGGCACTTTGCTTGCTTGCTGGCCAAACCCTGAAGCGAACTGCATGATCCTGAGGTGACACTCTTCATTCCAAAGACAGGGGATTCATTTTCTCTACATTAGTAGAACTGGTCAGATAGCATAATCAAAACCCTTCTTGACAAGGACTACCACTTGTCAAGATAGTATTTTCCACAATGATTTTGCCTTTTAGAAAGATCTCAAAGTACCTTGTAGTTTACTAATATGAAAAGGTAAGTTATCTGACAGGACCATTGGTGACTTTTTTTTTTTTTTTTTTTTTTTGTTATTTTGTTTTTTGAGACAGAGTTTCTTTGTGTAGGTTTTGGTGCCTGTCCTGGAACTTGCTCTGTAGCCCAGGCTGGCCTCGAACTCAGAGATCCGCCTGGCTCTGCCTCCTGAGTGCTGGGATTAAAGGCATGCGCCACCACTGCCAGGCCGACTTGTGCTCTTTTTACATTTTTTTAAAATATTTATTTTATGTATATGAGTGACCTGTCTTCATACACACCAGAAGAGGGAATCAGATCCCATTATAAATGGCTGTGAGCCACTATGTGGTTGCTGGGAATTGAACTCAGGACCTCTGAAAGAAGAGCCAGTGCTCTTAACCACATCTCACCAGCCCCCTTTTTACATTTCTTAATTCAAACTTCAAAATTCATATTATTCTGGATACTACTGCATAACTGATATAGTAACAAAATGGTCTGATTTCAGAAATATTTAGAACTTTAAATTATTAATGGCCCTTTACCCTAAGCTTTAGCAAGAAAATTTCCACTGATAAAAAGAATTAAAGTGCCCTGCCAGAAACAGCATTCATAAAGCAGGGTCTGGTGGATCTCTCTCTGAGTTTGAGGCCACCTTCCTTGGTCTACACATGAGTTCCAGGATAGCCAGAACTACATGGTGAAACTCTGCTTAAAAATAACAAAAAATAATGTTCCAACCTTATTTTCTACAAGACTTGAAAGAGAGAATGTCTTACTCTATATAAATAATAATAATTTATGCTATAAATCAAAGCACCACTCATACAGAATTCTATTTCCTATCTCTTCAATACAGATGTCACACGGGTATTTACCAATCCATTTTTTAAAAGGGAAAATTACACTGTGTTCAACTTAACTCTCTTGCCTAGTACTATACCAACTTGCAGCTATGTCGAGAGTTCTGTGTTAGAAATGTGTTTCGAGAGTTGGCAAAGTTAACTGCAGAGGACAAAGATGCAGCCAAGTCTCCTTTCACCCTCCTAAGAAAACACAAGCACAACAGTGCTAGGCATCCTTTTCCATTTCAATGTTCTTCATTACTTGGGATACCACATCAAACAAGCTAACATGAGATACCTTATGAAGATAAAAGGATTATGCATTTGTTATCATTACTGAGTTTCTGAACTATTTAATGTTTTAAGTCATTTATAGTCCCTCTGCTTCCTCTAACAAGACATATAGAAACTCCAGTTACAATAAATAAATTCCACAAGTGGAAACAAGCAGTTACTTCAAAACCCCCAGATCAAATACCTGAAATGGTATTCTACAGCTTTGGGAGTCTTTCAGGACCACTAAGTTTTTTAATCATTAAAAGCTGTGACAGTGGTCAGGGCATCAAGAACAGACACATGAATGTATCATGCCCTTTCTGGACAGCTGTTTCCATCTGATTGATAAAATCCCATATGAGATGAACACTAGAACCTACATTAACTCTCTGCAGTTTTCCTTCTCATTCATTAAAAACCAAGTAAGAAAGCCTTATTTAAAATCACTAAATCAAAGGCCAGCAAGATGGCTCAGCAGGTAAAGGTACTTGCTATCCCCAGGGCTCATGTAGTAACGAGAACTGACTCACAAGTTGTCCTAGAACCTCCGTATGTGTACTTTAGTACCCTCCAAAAATAATAATAAAATAAAAACACCTAACTTGTTTTTTTTTTTGTTTTGTTTTTTTTTTTTTTTTTTAAAGATTTATTTATTTATTATGTATACAGCATGTATCCCTGCAGGCCAGAAGAGGGCAGCAGATCTCATTACAGATGGTTGTGAGCCACCATGTGGGTTCTGGGAATTGAACTCAGGACCTCTGGAAGAGTAGACAGTGCTCTTAACCTCTGAGCCATCTCTCCAGCCCCATTGTTTTTTTTTTTTTTTTTTTTTTAAGCTAATCTCAGAATCAAGTAAATCTGCAGTATGACCAGAGGCTTTTTCCTGCCCCATCACAGCAGGGGGTGGGGGCGGGTGTCAAACTCTGGGTTTGATTCATGTTAATTGAGCTGCAGCTCCAGGCCCTTAGTTATACTAAAAAAGATTCTGACATGTACAATGTTGAGATCATAGATTCTATGTTTAGTTCAATGCACTCCTATTTTATTCAATTATGAATTACTAAATTCAGAAACTATATTATGGCTACCTTTAAAATTCATTTTATTTTATAGATTTCAGACCACTGAGTTTATATAGTGCTATGATTACCTTCTCAATAGTTACCTTTATTTCTTTGCAAAGCACACTTTCCTCTTCTTCATGAATGTAAAATTTCACAGTATTTTTCTGTACATCTTTCATTATTTTAACCAAACTATTAAATACTTCGGGTTCTAATTGGCTTATAAAATTTGAAAGAGCTGGTTGTGCAGAAATGTTTATATCGCTGGGTGATTTTGCTATTTCTTTTTCTACTGGTTCCAGGGCAGTATCACCAGGTACAGTGTGATCAGAAGTCAACATGAACTCCTTGCAGTGGTGTGGCTGGTTCATTTCTACTTGAAGCGAAGAGGAATACTGCTCATTAGAACTGTTATCTTTTAAAGGTTCAGGACACAGTGGCTCAAAAAGGTCTTTACTGCTGAAGTCACTTGAGGAAATGGATACAACATGCCTTCCCAGAGGAGTCAATGCTGTTGTATGGGAATGGCTAGGACTTACTGGTGGCAAATTCCCACCCTTAGCTGATGCTTTAATAATAATAGTATTTAGTTTTTCGTGCAAACCATCTACAAATTCCTGTACACCAGCTTTTGAAGTCTTAGAATATATGAACTCAGAAAGGCGATTCATCTTCTCTTGTGCTGAAAAAATAGGTGTGGAAATTGTACTAACATATGAAACATTCTTTTGCTTCAGAATCTCTTCTATTTTTCTAGAAAAGAGATGGAACTCTCCTAACACTGTGTTCTCTGTGGTTTCGCTCACTGTAGGAGGCTCTGCTGCTGGCACACACTGCTCTTCCACTGTCACTACTTGACCTGTCAACAGGTCCTCCTCAGTGGTGCCCTTTACAGTGTCTGTAAACGGAGAGGATGGAAACTGGTAATCGGAACTTCTTTCTCTATTTATTACCCGAGGGTCATTAGGAAAGGCTTCCGCTGGTGGCAGACACACCAGTTGTTCTCCTGGTGATTTCATTCCTATACAAGAAGAATTTATTATTATAAGAGCAATCCAAATGGGTAACATTAAAAAACTAACAAAAACTCATTTTAAAACACATCAGTTTAGGTATATATTTGAAAATATGCATTGCAAAGTAAATTAAAAACCTCAAAAAAAACTGTGTGAACCCTATCTGTTCTACTTATAGGCTAGGCTTTGGATTTCAGTAGACAGAGTAGCAACATTGAACAGTTTCCATGCTTTCTTTCCAAGTGTTCAAAAGGGCCTCTTTGGAAAAAGATTAAAAAAAAAAAAAAAGGTGTCTCTTTGGCATAAACATGTTAAGTCACTTTCCTGTTTTTGCTTTCCTACCACTCTATACATCTGATGTTAACAGACTATTATAATAATACTGGATTCCATGGCCAAGGAATGACACTTTAGTTTAAGAATGAAAATAAGGCAACTGGAAGGCCCAAGAGAAATACTGTAGCATTTAAGATCTTAAAAAATTAGGGCCTGGAGAAATGGCTCAAGTGGGTAAGAGCACTGGCTGCTCTTCCAAAGGTCCAGGGTTCAATGCCCAGCACCACACAGTAGTTCCCAACTGCCTGTAACTCCAGACCCAGGGGATCCAACACCGTCATACAGACAGACATACATGCAGGCAAAACCTCGAAGTACATTAAATAAATCTTTAAAAAAAAAAACCTTAAGTCAATTGTATCTATTTTTAGGCTGGCTTTCACATATAGGTTGGTTAATGGATTGCCTACAACTTAACAGACTCATTCTGTCAGGAAAGAAAGGCTCAAAAAAGAATTAAAATATTTCATAGCTGCATTGAGTAGTACCTTTGATAATGCTCTCCTATTATTTTAATTTATTTGTAAACAATTCCAAAAAGAAATAAGAAATTTTTTCTTTATTTCTTTATTCCTGTAATCTAAAACTACGCATTTTGGATGACAAGGTCCTTGTGTAATCCAGTGCTAATAGGACTACAACCTTTGACTTGTAAGAACTGGCTCAATCTGTAAGATCACACTGTTGTTTTCCCCACAAATCTTAAATTCAAACATGACTAAGTTTTTAAAACTACTTTTCAAAGCAAGCACCCTATTCTTAAATATAAGAGGAAAATATATCTATCTTTAATTTATAGTAATATATTTTAGAGAAATAAAGTCAAAATTTTTGCCCAAAAAGTTATCACACCATTTTAAAATTTGAAAAATTAGAAATTTTTGGTCTGAAGCCAACACCGTTCCCTAACACAGCACTAGTATAGACAATGGTGACTCTAAATCACAAAATCCATTTATAAATTTTCAAACCTATAGTACTAGAGTAAATTTACAATCCAAGTTTGTACTCAGATGTAGCTGCACACTCTTTCTACACAAAATCCCATTTTTATTTTCCCCACACTCAGTTTTTCCATGTCATGATCACTACATTCAATTTCCGTAAAGACACTTATACAGTAAGAACAGGGACAAAGGTCAAAACAAGAAAGAAAAGCAAAACACCTAATTTCTCAACAATTAAAACTGTGTAAAATATATACTATAAAGTTCAAGTTCTATAAGACTCAGGAATACTGAATATTCTACCCTTAAATTTACAACATTAAAAGTGTAATTTACGGGGCTGGAGAGATGGCTCAGAGGTTAAGAGCACTGACTGCTCTTCCAGAGGTCCTGAGTTCAATTCCCAACAACCGCATGGTGGCTCACAACCATCTGTAATGAGATCTGGTGCCCTCTTCTGGCCTGCAGTCATATATGCTGTATACATAATAAATAAATAAATAAATAATAAAAAAAGTGTAATTTAAAATAATATAAAGTATATAAAAGGACATATAAGAGATCGGTAGCCGGGTGGTGGTGGCGCACGCCTTTAATCCCAGCACTCAGGAGGTAGAGCCAGGCGGATCTCTGTGAGTTCGAGGCCAGTCTGGTCTACAGAACGAGATCCAGGAGAGGCACCAAAACTACACAGAGAAACCTTGTCTCAAAAAAAAGAAAAAAGAAAAAAAGAAATTGGTAACAATGTCTAACCTATTGAGAGCAAAGTAAACATACTTAATACTTTTTTCTGTTTTTTAACCCCCATTCTCTTTTGTTTTTGTAAGACAGGGTCAGGGTGGCTTTAAACTCATAAATCTTCCTGCCTCAGCCTCCTGAGTACTAGATAAATTGAGAGCAATTATTTTGATTAAAATAGTAAGTTTTAAAAATATAGGTAGTCTTCAACACTTTATTTTATGACAATATAGGTGTCTGTCTTTAACAGATGTTTGAAATAAGAGCTATGTTTGAGCTACCACACCACTGGGGAAAAAAAAACCATCAGGACATGGATTTTCAACAGCTTTTTAAAAAATTTAAATGTAACTTAAATCTCATGTAGAGTTTTCCATATTAAAACTTCTAGGGACAAGCCAGGATGGGGGCACACATCTTTAAATTAATCCTAGTCCTTGGTGGGCAGAGGCAGGCAAATCTCTGAGGCAGAGCAAGTTCCAGGACAGCTTGGGCTACACATGAAAACCTTCTGTTTCAAAACAAAACAAAATTCTTGACAGACGGTCAGTGGGTAAAAGCACTTGCTATGAAAACATTAGGACTAGAGTTCAAATCTCCAGAACATACGTAAAAAGCCAGGCATGGATGCACATGCCTGTAACACTGTGGGATTGAAAGAGGTGGACCTCAGGAGCTTGATGGCAAAACAGCCTAACTGAAAGAGCAAGCTTCTGTTTCAGTAAAGACCAACCCTCAAAGTAGTAAGGCAAACAGCAATAGAGGAAGAAACAAAAGTTCTCCTCTGGCCTCCATATATACTTAGTTACACCTAAACACTCAAATGTACTCCTCATCCCTATACATACCCACACATGACAATTATAAGCCAAATAAACCTCTTTGAATTGTGAATAAACATAATTTTATTTTGCACAAATTACTCCATATGATTTTAAGATCAACACTTTTTAAAAAACAATCTTCAGCCAGGTAGTGGTGGCGCATGCCTTTAATCCCAGCACTCGGGAGGCAGAGGCAGGTGGATCTCTGAGTTCGAGGCCAGCCTGGGCTACAGAGTGAGTTCCAGGAAAGGCGCAAAGCTACACAGAGAAACCCTGTCTCGAAAGAAAAAAGTCTTCACCGATAAAGGATTTAACAGAGATGTCATATCTATATATCTATAATTTGTATTTATTTATTTATTTATTTTTTTGTTTTTGTTTTCAAGACAGAGTTTCTCTGTGTAGCTTTGCGCCTTTCCTGGATCTCGCTCTGTAGACCAGGCTGGCCTTGAACTCACAAAGATCCGCCTGGCTCTGACTTCTGAGTGCTGGGATTAAAGGCTTGCGCCACCACCGCCCAGCTTCATTTGACTTTTAATATGTGAAGAAAATGCATTATTTCTCAGACAATAATGTCATTTAGATCTAACATTCAATCATAAAATGTGAACACAGTATCTGAAGGAAGAGAAAGGTGTATGTCTACAGAACAATATGAAGTTCAAACAAGATAATTGTTGTTTCTAGAAAGAATTACTGACAATACACAACACAGATGAATTCCTTGACATCAAAGCTGAAATGAAAGAGCCAAACAAACAGGCATGAGTAGATTCAATGTATGGAAACAAAACTGAAAATACTGTAAAGAAAGTGAGATTAGTGCTACCTACTGAGAACGCAGAGATCATGGCCCAGGAAAATGCAGAAGAGAAGCCAGGGTACTGGGATTGTTCTACAGCTTGACTTGGGTAGTAGTCACATAGATTATACTTATGTGAACATTACTGAGCTGTACACTAAAACTTGTGTACTTTCTTACATCATGTATTTTTAAAAATAAATCATCTAGGAGATAAAGATCTTCCTGAAGAAAATTATGAGAAGGGTTAATTTACTAAGAAAGATTTACTAAAAAAGCCATTTAGCTTTCCTTCTAAATTAAGAAACCTTCAGACTTCTCCATGAATACTAAGAAAGTCACCTAACTTTCCTACTAAATTAAAATAACAAAAAGACCCACAAGATTTCTTAAAGAGTAAAGTATTAAAACAAATGGAAACATTAAAAAGATCACTAGCAAACTGAGACAAGAAAATAATGCCAACAATGACATGCAGAGAAGCTGAATGTGACTGAGCTCAGTCAGACAAAGGAGACTATCTTCGGTGCATCCACTGCAATTAACTAATTAGTAGGATTTTTGTTTCTGGAAATAGTTTTCAATCTCTTAAACTATCTGAGAAGTAAGCTTTATACTTAAAAAGGTTGGCAAAAAAATTTGAAGATTATGAACAGAGTATGAAAAGAAAAAAATGGTTATGGTTATCTTGTTGCATTGTAAAATAAAGATTGGTTCTTAAAGAATATCTGAAGAAATGTATTAAGAAAACATTTTCATATTCCTAAATCACCTGATCAGATAGACAAGAATACAGATTACTTTTGTAACAAGAATATCTGATACAATTAAATGTTAAAATGATAGCTTAAAAAAAACAAAAAAGAGGTCTAAACTTCTCTATTTGGAGCACAAAGTAAATCCATGCCCTACCGATGAAGAACCAGAACAGAATGCAAGTATGGCCATTCTGAAGAAGGGCACATTGGGAAGAAAAGCAAAGTGAGCCTTCTCACCTGGTGTTTGTTTCTCACCATGTTTCCCATGCTGGTCTTCTGGGCTTCTTGCATTCCCTCCTGAGGAAAGCATCCATTAGATTTGTAGATTCTCTTCAGATACCAGTGACTCCTATTAGGCACCTTTCAGACAACCACAAATGCTAACAAAGGAATATTCCTTCTTTTGCCTAAACATTCTTGAAAGGTCATTTGGAAATGGAAAGTTGTTTCCCTTTCCATTCAGGTGATGGAAAGAGAAATACCTATATTACTTCTTTAAATGACTCAACAGCAATTATGAAGGTTTTCAAATGAAGAAAGGTTAGAATAACCACCACCTACAAACTATTTTTCTATTCCATTTCAAAGTTTCACTATGTCTCCATCTCATAAAAGAGTATCAGTTCTCCTCTATCATCAGATCTAGGGTCTCTTGCCTCCTCCAGTAAGGTACGAAGTATAGAAAAGTGCAGAAGCCCATGGAAACTCAAGTTTTAGAAATTCTTCTCAGACTCCCTATAGGTCTCATAGATTATAAGTCACAAGCCAGTCTACTTTTCAGCAAGTCATTCTTCAATTTCCTTCCAAAGGCTAAATAAAGGTATAGGAATGAAAAAGATGTGCCCAGAAAACAATTCCAAACATATTTAGCTAACAAAGATGAATAAGAACTTGAATATTAAGAGCACGCAGTGTGTGCATGGACAAGTAAGAATATTACAAATGACAATCTTTCAACAACTGTCAAACTCCAGTGGTTCAGTAAGTTTCCATGAGGTATTTATTTGCATTTGGTAGTTTCACGCTGTGCTCCAGAATGAACCATTAGGAAATCAAATTTCCTTCACACAGATGAACCTCAACATGATCAACTGCTAGATGACAGACAGTTTGTTGTAGTGAAGTTTAGATTAGTGATGTGAAAAGTAGTGGCTACCCAAAGAGCATCATTTCACTCTAACACCTACTTCCCCAAGTTCAGTTTCTATCAACAGTTTTCAACTGATAACATGCATGCAAAAACTCCACAAGAAGAGTAACTATGTTCTAAATCCCTATATTAATAGGCCCTTTTGAAGATACTTGCTGATGTCAATCAAGAATGGTAATAGTGATAAATAATATATTTCTAAAAATAAAGACTCATGGCAGAGCCAAGTAAGATAGGTACCTTGTGAACGAAGACAGGAATCTAGAAAGATGAAATTCTCCAGGCAACTGGTCCCTAAGTAAAAGGAAACAAACCTATGACCGAATATACTAGTTCTTACCTGTAATTGGAATCAATTTCCAATGTATCTCTGTCTCTTCTTCATCATTTGACTTAGAATGCTGCGTACGGAATCCATGCTCAATGGAAACAGTGGGACAGAGACTGCACTCTTCAAAATTATTGACATTAATTAAATGTGGATCCTAAAAATACAGGACGTACATTTAATAGCTTTCCTTTTAAATTTAATGTCAAGACTATACTACTTCCTCACAGCAAATGCATAATCTTCAGTCTAAACATTACAAATAAATAAAACCAACATGGTAAAATTATAATACTCTAGCTTTAAATCTAAAATATATTTTGCCAAGGCCAGGAATGGTAGTGCTTGCCTATAAGCAGGTTCAGGAGGCAGAGGCAGTAAGGATCAAAAGTTTGAGGCTAGCCATGGGTTCAGAGTGAAACCTTGTCATGAATAAACATACACCTCCCCAATAAATAAATGAAATAAACAATATACATTGTCCTTAAAGGTTATCTGAGGACTGGCAAAATGGCTCAGTGGGGAAAGGCACTTGCCACCAACTCTGATGACCTGAGGTACTCTTCAGGGGCCACACAGTGGATAACTTTCAGAAGTTATCCTCTGACCTTCACGTGTACACAAAATAAAAATAGTAAAATTTAATAAAAAGATTAAATGAACACTCAGCAATAAAGAACACCAACTGCTCTTGCAGAGGACCAGGTTCAATTCATAGCACCCCATATAGCAGCTCACAACCATCTTAACTCCAGTTCTTTCAAGAGATCCGACACCTCCACTGCTCTCAGAGGGCACCAGAGATTTATGTGGTGCAAATACAAACAGGCGAGCAAAACAATCACATGAATAAAATAAGTAAATCTTTAAAAAATGCAAAATACATACCACACATGCAAAACTGGTGTTGATTTAAAGCACTGACTGGTAAACTTTTGTTTTAAATTTTAAAGGCTATATATTCAACTCTGTTATTGTATTTAACAATACCAACAGGTAATACTTAAATGAATAGAAACAGAATTTTACGGAATAAAACCAGGAAGTAGGGCTGGAGAGATGGCTCAGTGGTTAAGAGCACTAGCTGCTCTTCCTGAGGACCCAGGTTCAACTCCCAGCACCTACAGGGCAGCTTACAACTGTCTTTAACTCCTGTTCCAGGGGGTCCAACACCCTCACACAACCATGCAGGCAAAAGAGCAATGTACATAAAAATCATAAAAAAAAAAAAAAAACAGAAAGTAAGCCATATTCAGTCCACACTCTTTTTAAATGTATTAAGAAACATTAACAATACCTACAGGTCAATATCTCAATGCCTACCTACATAAATCTCCTACCACCATCTTCTCCCTAAAATAAATATCCCAAAACTACATAAAGAAAGGCTGAGATATACACATATGACTTTGATTCAAAGAAGAATAAATTAGCTAACAGCCCTTAAGAATATGGTGCCATTGTGGTACTCTCCTCAATGATTCAGCTCCTCATAAGAAAGTAAGGACTAATGCAGAAAGTCACTGTCTATTAAACACAAGCCATACATAAACAATTGGATTCCTTAATAAGCAAAGCTCAGAATCACCTCAGAGATAATCCCAAAGTCTACTCATTTATATCTGCACAATATAAAATGCTTAATTTGCAGCTCCATATTACTAAATTCAACTGCTTCGTCTGCCTCACTTTGATTCTCTTACAGCAGAAAACAGCCACTGTTTGGAGGACTCATTTCATCATAAAACAATTTGAAATTAACTCCTGCTATGCCAATCTGACAAACTAGCCCTAGTTTTATCATACTAGATAAACTTTAGATTATATATAAAGCACAAAAGCATATAGGAAACAATTACTTCCATATTTACCTTTTTTCAACAAGAAAAGCTTAGAATCACCCTCTAAGACAAACACTTTTACTTCCTGAAGTATGCCTACACTCTTTGACATACACAAAAGCAAATACAGATAACCAGAAAGCCACATTTACATCTTTCAAATGTAGCTTATGGTCAATGCCTACCTCACTGGTAGAAAGAAGAGTAGGGTACTGTACAGATGTTGCATCAACTTCTAGCAGTGGGCTCTGAGCACCCTTAAAATGGACGTTTTCAATTTTTGTACAAGTATGCTGCTCACAGTCTTTCTTATCTAAAGCAGGATTCAACTCATATTCACACTTTTGTCTTAGCTCTTCACAGGTACTACTGCTACTCAATCCTAAGGCCTTGTTGACTGTATCTGTCAGGAATGCATCTGAGTGTCGTGCATTTGCTAGTGCTTCTGATAACCAATTATAAAGCTTGTGGACGTCTCCAGTGTTACATGCCTCTTCTTGTTGCAGTCTCAAGTTAGGATCATGTCCAAGTAAGCCAATGGATTGGGGAGACTCTGAGGAAAAGTAAGAAAAACCATCTCTTGTATTTTAAAAGCCAGTATACTTATTTATATGACAGAATGAAAAAACTTAACATATTTTAAAAATAAAACTTAGAAGTCATCTGTAAGGTATTTATGGGTAGGAACTAAAATATTTTAACTTAGGTTTTACAAATATGTGTCCTCTACTATAACTGTTTCTGAAAATTTTAAGAGCACATGAAAGAGCAAGAAACATGGCAATGCCCTGGTTAGTCTGAAAACAAAGCCTTGAAAAGCCAAATACTGAAGATGAAACTGATCTTAAGTTAATAAAACAATATAGAGAGGATACTGAAATGAACTGAGGAAATTTAAAAACCAGGAAGGACACAAAAGAGATAAGACATACACACTGAAAGTAAAGAGATACCTAAGTCAAGTGAAGAAAAAGCCTAAAAGTTGTAACAGACAACAGCACCGTCGAATAGAACTTTCTGCAATGACTAAAATATTCCTATCAGTATGCTCTAATACAGTTGTTTGGCTGGTGAAATGTAGTTTTATTTCATTTCAACTAATTTAAACTTAAAGAGCTATGTGTAATGACTACCACAATAGATAATTCAAGAATAAAAGTAAAGATTTCCCCCAGGGGAGTCCTTGCCCTGGAGGAAATGGGGATGGGGGGTGGGCTGGGGGGGAGGGGGGCTGGAGGAGGGAGGACAGGGGAATCCATGGCTGATATGTAAAATTAAACTAAACTATAAAATAAATTAAAAAAAAAAAAAAAAAGCCGGGTGGTGGCTGCGGCGGCGGCGCACGCCTTTAATCCCAGCACTCGGGAGGCAGAGGCAAGCAGATCTCTGTGAGTTTGAGGCCAGCCTGGACCCTAGAGTGAGTTCCAGGAAAAGTCTCCAAAGCTACACAGAGAAATCCTGTCTCGAAAAACCAAAAAAGAATGACCATCCAGCTGACAGCTTTAGAGAACTGTTGGACAATAAATAACAATAATATCTTAAAAAAAAAAGTAAAGATTCCAGTTCTGGTGGCACAATCCTTCCCAGATACTTGGGAAGCCAAGACAAGTGGACAGCAAAAGGTTAGCCTGGTCTGAAGAATGAGCTAAAAGCCAATCTGGGCAACTTAGTGAAACCTTATTTCAAAAAGTAAAGAGAGTTGGGGATGCAGTTCGGTGGGTAGGTGCTTATCTACCATGAACAAGGCTTATGGTTCATTCAGAGCATAAAAGTATATATTATAGCAAAGACGTTTATCTGTCCAACCTAGTCAAAGACAATCACATCTGAAAAGAAGACAAGGCTTCTGAGCACAAAACAAAAGCCCAAAACCTCACATTTCATGTTTCTGAACTAGCCAGTATAAAAAGGTTAAAACACTGAGTATTTAATTTACTTACAGTACTTAAACACACTATTGTAACAGTCTCCCATTTCTATCAACTGAAAAGGGTACAACAAAGGAACACAACAGGAATTGTATAAATCTAAGAAATTTCATTTTAAAGCTCAGAAGGGTCCATTCATTAAGCAACAGCCTAAAACAATCCAACAAACATCTCTCATTGTGAAAACAAAATATAGTGTAAGCGCTAAGTTCAAGCTAAGCTTAAATGTATTGCGTATACTTTATATTAGCCTAAACTGAACAATTAAGAAATATGACACAGCAGGGTAAGTATTTTTATATAGGATCAAACAGTAAATATTTTAAACATCATGGGCCATACAGTCTTTACTGCAATTCTGCCATCTCAGTGTGAAAGCAGCTATATACACATAAATGAATGGCCATAGTTGTATTCTTTTGTGTGTGTGTGGAGGGGGGGGGGGTTCGAGACAGGGTTTCTCTGTGTAGTTTTGGTGCCCGTCCTGAATCTCACTCTGTAGGCTAGTCTGGCCTGGAACTCACAGAGATCCACCTGGCTCTGTTTCCTAAGTGCTGGGATTAAAGATGTCCGCCACCAATGCCCAGCATCGTGGTTGTATTCTAATACATGTATTCAAAAACAGGAGTAAACTCTTTCACTCCTTATTAACTGCTTGAGGGATCTGTGGTCATCACAAATGACATAGTAACTATCTGAACCAGGGCATTCATGACCAACCAAATACTTCAAAGGAAACAAATGATTATTCAGTCGGTCACCCTGGAAAGTCAATAGTGAGACAAATTCAGAAAAAAAGAAATGTACAACACCAAACCTGATCCTTGTATTTGGGATTAGAACCCATTTTGGTGGTGGCAAGGTAACTGAATTTAGGATGGTTTATGTCTTCTCAGATTGTACAAAGAAAAACTGAGCTATAACACACAGCTAAAGAACACAGCGTGTTGAGAAAGAAAAGGACCACAAGCCAACAGCAAAAGGAACGTGTTAGCACTGGCAAAAGTAAGGTAGGGAGTGGATAACCGTCAAAGTGTGAAGCCACTGCAATGACTTATTTGCTGTGAGTGTACAATTTCTAAGGGTAGGATCAATAAACTGTAAAACTTCCAACGTCAACCAATCCTGAACAAGCCAGGCAGGCATGCTCACACTTGTAACTGTACTCCCTGGGAAGCTGAGGAAGGAAGACTGGTGAGAATTCCAGGCCAGTCAGAGTCCTTGTGACACCCTGCCTCAAAAAGAAAAAAACATAGAACCCAAACCCAACCAAGTACCTAGGACAGTTTGTATCTGGCTCTTAAGCTTAGTAATTTGGGAATTACTATAACATGGGAAAGAACAGAACCAAGGTTATGTATTTTGGTTATTATCATAAAAGTAGTGTGTTATTTTACCTTCATATAGATGATAATTATCAGATGAATTGCTGGTTTTGGCGAACTTTCTCATATTTTCAGGTAGATCCTCAAGCTTCCTCTTCAAGACACTTTTGCTTCTAGGATCTTCTGTATCTGGGTCCCCACCCACATTTTTTTTTGTACATTGAATTAAATTAATCAATTCTTTGACTCTATCCTTATCATAATCTAAAGAATGAGATGACTTCTGCTGTACAGGTTCAGCAGTTTCACCCCTTGAGCCATTTCGTTTTCCAAATTTCATTTTTGAACCATTAATTTCTTCTTCTTGACCTTCATAATCTGAAAGTGGACTAAATTGTTGACGTTTTCGATTTTCTTCAAATAACTCTTTTAATTTAAAAATAGGTAACTGATACATTTCTGGCTGAAAAATGTAGGTATGTAAGCAGTCGTCAATATGAGATTTATTTCTTGGTGCCGAGTATAGGAATTTTTTATCATCTAATCGTGAATCGTATGAAAACATGAAAAATTCCCGCTTACCTGAACCAAAACCTCGCTTAAAAAATTCACTTACGTACTTCTCAACAACAGAATGAAAATTTATAGTGTTTATATCTTTGAATTCTTTTCGACACTGAATTAAAGCAAACTGTAAAAACTGAGTTATTTTTAATATATCTGATATGCTCTCATGTTTCTCCTGTGGTGCTGGATTCGTTACACCTTTCTGTGCTGCAAATAAACAAAAAGTAAACCATAGTAGCAATAGGGAAATCAATCAAATATAAATCATCATACTACTAAAGTGTAACATTTGAACATTAATGTTGAGCCAGTGAGCATCTGCTTCTGATACACAAGTAGTACAGCAAACTGACAAGCAGCATGCTTCTGCTTAAAATGGGCCAGTAACCCAAACAAATGAAAGGGAAAACAGACTTTTAATGGGAAAAAAAACCTCACTAACGATCTTCACTTCCTTTTGCCCCCAAGTCAACACAAATGGTTGCAAGCAAATTGTAAAGAATGGGGAGAAAGTAAGATTTGAGATTCTAAGCAGTATCACTCCTGCAAATGACAATGTCACTCCATTTTTCTCATAAAGTAACAACATTAACTTTATATAAACTCATTTTCCCATAAGCACATATCTATGTACTGAGAAGTCACAACTGAAAAATCCAGGCTTAATCCAAAAGCCTATTAGTGGGAATTCCTTAATATTCAAGTTTGTTGTTAAAAAGGCCAACAACAAAATCTTCTCTAACATAAATATTCCAAATTCTCATTAACTACAAATGGCCTAATGTTTAATATGGCATATGATACTTTAAAATCACTAAAACTTGAATGCAAAAATGAATTAGAGAAAAATATGTCACACAAAACTCTAAGCTGTAGTACTAAAACAATTATAATAAAACTTCATTAATGAAAGCACTGAAAAAAGAGAAAAAGAAAACAAACGAAAAAGCCCCTAAAGTTTCATAGTTAAGAGAAACACTTCAAAGGCAGGAGTAATGGCATACACAAAAATACGGAGGGGAGCACATCAAAGTCATGTTTTATACTGCTAATTCCACAGAACAGATTTAGACAAAATAGAATGTAAGTGTACTGAAAAGATTTCAGTAATATCTACCAGCAATTATACTTCAACATTAAAAAAAAACAAAACTTACTGATAATTAGGCATCTAGGTTCTTGAAACAGAAACAAAGCATGTAGGATTCGAGACTTGACAGTCTGATGTTCTAAAGAAAAGAAGAAAAAAAAAGCCAAATTCATTAGCAAGCAATTTTAACTGGTTTTTTTTTTTTTTTTTTTTAATTGTAAAAATTAAAGCCAGACTACCTACCATAAGGAGAAATCATCTGGTAAGGAGAAAGAAGAAAAAGGTATCCTCGGTCTCCTAAAGGTTTTACAAGAACCTGCAGTTTGGAGAGGCAGAAGAGGTATATTCACCATATTATTACTACTACTTGAAAGTAAACACAACACTTGATACTAAGTATAAAGAAGTATAATTTTTTTAAAGAAAATAATGCAGCCAGGCAGTGGTAGCGCATGCCTTTAATCCCAGCACTTGGGAGGCAGATCTCTGTGAGTTCCAGGCCAGCCTGATCTACAGAGCGAGATCCAGGACAGGTACCAAAACTACAGAGAAACCTTGTCTCAAAAAAAAAAAAAAAACCACCAAACTAACCATGAAGAAGATCTCAATCAAGTGAAAATTTATGTTCATAATATACTGAGAATGTTCTTGAAATAATTATAGTTAGCTGTGAAAAATAACTTGATGCTAAAATACACAGATTTCTAATATTTATCAGTGCAAAAGACATTAAAAGCATGCTGGACATTGTATATAATAAAACATACTTTGAAATAACTGCCTATGAAAATTCAAGATAGTGTTCAATGAAATGTTGCTAGAATCTAATCTTACAGTTATATTGAGTATCATTCATATTACATAATTTTACCTGCCAGAGATAACCTGAAGTCTCTCAACTATGAAGAGAAAGTAACACACAAAATAGCAGTAATTACAAAAGACAGAAAAATTCCCCCCAAAGATTTAAAAAGCAGGAAAGATGGCTCAACAGTTAAGGGCACTTGCTTCTTTTGCAGAGGCCCACAGTTGGTTCCTAATACCTATACAGAGGTTCATGGTCTTTTGTAACTCCAGTTCCTGGGGTTCCAATAAGGGCCTCCATAAGCTCATACAATGAATCTTAAGAAAAATTTACAGGGCAGTAAGAACGGAAAAGCATAGCTCATTTATAGTAGTAAAAGGCAGTCAAGGAAGATTTAGAGTATACTGAAGTTCTATTTTGAAGAATGGGCACAGTGAAACACCCAGAGGTTGCATGATAGGCAACATTATAAGGAATGGCAAACCATAATATAAGGAACAGTCTGCAAGCATTACAGTACTCATTACTGGCTCCAGGGTAAGAATAGAGTAGGGAGAATGGGTAAATGTTTAATAGACATCAAGATGCAAAGATCAAATAAAGAAAAAACGAATTCCAATTTATCCAGGAACATCTTTAGTGTGCATACTCTTGTAACTACTTCCTTTGGTAACAACAAAAAGAGTTGATGGCACTGTGTCAGAGGAAAAGAAAATGATCTAACATAAAGCATTTATTTCGGGACCTACTAAGATAGCTTCTGGATTAAAGGATGAAGTGAATAAAAAAGGGTATTTGTATTATGAAAATTGTGCTACTTGAATTGCTATTAACAATAACGATAAAAAGTGACTGCACTAGCCGGGCGGCTTAATCCCAGCACTTGGGAGGCAGAGCCAGGCGGATCTCTGTGAGTTCGAGGCCAGCCTGGTCTCCAAAGCAAGTTCCAGGAAAAGCGCAAAGCTACACAGAGAAACCCTGTCTCGAAAAACCAAAAAAAAAAAAAAAAAAAAAAAGTGACTGCACTAACAAAAAAGACTATGAAAGCACAGCAGTATCACGTTTGGAGGTTTCAAAGTGCTTCCAGCTAGCCAGCCAGGGTAACTTCTCCTCTTTAATTCACTCTATTAAAAAGTAACTGTCAGGTGCTCCAGCAACAGCTCTTTTAAACAAGACCTTCAGTAAGCTGATTGGTAGCATGAGCCAAAACTGGGAGCAGAGGTGGGAGTCCAGAAGATCAATTGAGCCAGAAAGATCCCAATCTAGAAATTATTCATGAAACTTAGGGGATCCTTCCTTTTAAAAAAAAAAATTATACACAGTGTAGGTCAGTTGCCAGGTCTGGAGTTAGATAAAGGGAGCTCACGTCAGCAGTTAGATTTTTGTTTTAAGGTTTATAAAAGTTACATATACCCTAAAGTGGCCTTACCTTATCTCCTAGAAACTTCCTAGGCTAGGCTACATCATACTGCTAAGTGACATGTAGCATGAATTTCGAGATGTTGGCCTTATAATTACCATTAATCTTAGAGCCACAGACACAGATATCTCATAGTATACATGTAGACAATGTACCTGCAAAATTATTTCAAATCTAAATACTCTAGTCTAAAATATTCCAAATATTATATGCCTTTCCTTAATATTTTGCTCAAGTCCTAGCTGTTAGAACAGTATAATAAGTCTGTGCTTACTGAGGAAAACTAGTTACCCCGCCTTTAACATCACACTCACTCCAAATATAATACCACATTTCACAAATTTAATGGTTTACAGACTATAAAGAACCATTGAATCAGGGGAGTATGGTGGGGCAAGCCTTTAATACCAGCACTTGGGAGGCGGAGGCAGAGGCAGGTGGATCTTTGTGAGTTTTAGGCCAGTCTGGTCTACAGAGGACAGCCAGGACAGCCAAGGCTATATACACAGAGAAACTTTATCTCTAAAAAATAAATAAATAAATGAAAGAAAGAAAGAAAGAAAGGAAGGAAGGAAGGAAGGAAGGGGGAGGGGGAGAGAGAGAGAGAGAGAGAGAGAAAGAAAGAAAGAAAGAGAAAAGAAGAACCACACTGTATCCAGACACCCATGGTGTATATGAGCAGTCTATATTCAAAGCCACTAAGACAACCAGAGGCCCTATCAGTCCTATCTGAAGCATAAGCCCAAAGAGAAACATTTCAGCCAAATCTTGAAATCTCTATGCTTTTGTTGCCTCTAGTCAACTATACTTGACTACTGTGTTCCCCCTTTAAAATGCTATTTAGCCGGGCGGTGGTGGCGCACGCCTTTAATCCCAGCACTCGGGAGGCAGAGCCAGGCGGATCTCTGAGTTCGAGGCCAGCCTGGTCACCAAAGCGAGTTCCAGGAAAGGCGCAAAGCTACACAGAGAAACCCTGTCTCGAAAAACCAAAAAAAAAAAAAAAAACCAAAAAAAAAAAACACGCTATTTAATATAATTTGTACATTTTTCCTACTTTATTTTACTGTTTTGATTTTTCAGGTAACATTACAGGTGCTGGACATGGTGGCACACACATACAATCTCAGTACCTGGGAGGTTAAATCAGGAGAAACAGAGTTCAAGGCCATTAACTACATGAAGCCCTGTCCAAAACACCAAAAACCAAAACAAAAAGTATAAACAATATGGAAGAATGCTGTGGGATGTTCTGTATGGCAAATGTGTTGCTCTGATTGGTCAATAAATAAATCACTGATTGGCCAGTGGCCAGGCAGGAAGTATAGGCGGGACAAGGAGGAGAATAAAGCTGGGAAGTGGAAAGCTGAGTCAGGGAAACACTGCCAGCCGCCATGATGAGAAACAGCATGTGAAGATGCCGGTAAGCCACGAGCCATGTGGCAAGGTATAGATTAATGGAAATGGATTAATTTAAGCTGTAAGAACAGTTAGCAAGAAGCCTGCCACGGCCATACAGTTTGTAACCAATATAAGTCTCTGTGTTTACTTGGTCGGGTCTGAGTGGCTGTGGGACTGGCGGGTGATAGAGATTTGTCCTGACTGTGGGCCAGGCAGGAAAACTTTAGCTACAGAAGAACAAATTAAAGAGGCTGGAAAGATGGATCAGTAGTTAAAAGTGATAGTTGCTCTTCCAGAGGACCCAGGTTTGATTCCTGACACCCATCCAGTAAATCCAGACCCAGGGGATCTAACACCATCCTCTAGCCTCTACAGGCATCAGGCACTCATGTGGTGCACCGACACATATGCAGGTAAAACACCCATACACTAAAAATAGAAAGCAAATATTAGAAAGTACACAAATAGCTTACAATCTTATATCACTGATCTGACAGAGAAAAACTATACTAAATGAGATTCAGTAGGAACAAGATTCAAACTCCCAAAGGCTTCAATTTGCAATTACAAGATGTAAAGGATAACATTATAAAATATTTATAGACAAACCAGAACTGAAAATATATTTACACAAAACCTTATCAACAAATGTCTAAAATGTTTTCCTGAATAGTCAAGGAGTGAAAAAAAACTGAGACACACAAAATGTACCATTATCCATACAATGAACTACTATTTAGCCGTAAAAGGGAATTAAGTACAGATACAGACTATAACATGGATATATATATATATATTTTTTTTTTCACTCAGTAAATGAATACAGGTACAGAAAGTCAGATAGTGTATGACTTTATTAACAAAAAAATACCCAGCATATATATATAAATGGCTGTGAGAGATTTGGAGGAAGAAAGCTGAGTGCTTAATTACTACAGGATTTCCTACTGGGGTTACAAAAAAGTTATGGAATTAAATAATGATACTGGTCAAAAATACTCATCTACTGCAAACTACTGAATTACTGCCTACTTAAAAATGACTCAAATGCCAGGCAGTGGTGTCACACGCCTTTAATTCCAGCACTCAGGAGGGAGAGGCAGGTGAATCTCTGTGAGTTCAAGGCCCGCCTGGTCTACAGAGCGAGTTCCAGGACAGCCAAGGCTGTTACACAGTGAAACCCTGTCCCAATCTGCCCCCTGCCATCTCCAGCCAAAAGAAAAAAAATGCAGGGGGTTAACAAAGAAGTCTGACATACTCCTCTTCCTGCTCATAAAGTTAAGACTACAGAAAATGAAGGAGAGGTATCAGAAAGAGAACTAGCAATCTCTCCAGAAATGAAGACAGAAATCCAGACCAAAAAAAAAAAAAAAAAAAGGTAGATACATAAAGATACATAAGAAATTACTACCTAGATACTGTGATTCACACACACACACACACACACACACACACACACGGGGGGGGGGGGGGGGGGGGGGGGGGGGGGGGGGGGGGGGGGGGGGGGGGGGGGGGGGGGGACAGGGAAGAGGCGAGAAAGGGAGAAAATAAAAACTAAAAAGCAACCAGAAAACCAGATCTGATGACACAGACATGTAATCTCAGCTACTTGGGAGGCTGAGACAAGAGGATCACAAGTTCAAGGGCAGCCTGAGAAACTTAGATCCTTTCTCAAAATATAAAAGAAAAAAGAAAGGGCTGGGAATGACAGTTTTGTGGGAGTACTGGTCTAACATAAGCGAAGCCCCAGATTCCATGTTTAGTTCTCTGGGAGTTAAGGGCAACCTACCAAAAATATATACTTAGATTAAGAGCTGACCTCTCACTCCTAACAGCAGCAAAAAAAACACCTTGTAAGACAGGAATCTCACACTTGTACCCATATTAAAACCTTCTCGCCGGGCGGTGGTGGCGCACACCTTTAATCCCAGCACTCGGGAGGCAGAGCCAGGCAGATCTCTGTGAGTTCGAGGCCAGCCTGGGCTACCAAGTGAGTTCCAGGACAGGCGCAAAGCTACACAGAGAAACCCTGTCTTGGGGGGGGGGGGGGGGGGGGACACACCTTCTCTTGGACCAGGTGAGGTAGTATATGCCACTAATCACAGCCTTTGGTAGCGAGAAGCAGGAAGAGATCACCAAGTTTAGCTCAGTCTACATAATGAGTTCCAAGCCAGCCAGGGTTACACAGTAAGACCATGTCTCAAAACAAATGAAAAAATTTCTTAGTAAACTCCATTTTTTTTCAAAACAAATAAAAAATTGTCCCACTTCAACCATTATGGAATATATACTTATGAACAAAGGACGCATATAAAAACATGGGACTTAAATCTGAAAAACATCAAACTAACATCTATTCAGATTACAGTGCAATTAAGTAAGAAATAAGAAAGCAAAGAGAAGCTAATGTTGTAAATATGCTACTGGTAGACATGGATAGATGGCTCAGCAATTAGGAGCACCTGCTCTTGCAGAAGACTTGGGTTTGATTCCCAGTATCTATATGGAGATTTACAACCACCTGTAACTCGAGTTTCACAGGATCTGAAGGCCTTTTCTAGCATCCACAGGCATTAAGTATGCACACAGTATACATACATACATGCATGCAAACACACACATAAAATAAAAACACATTTTTCAGAAACAAATGCTAATGTCTCTCCTCAACAAAACAAATTAACTGTTCAGAAGTCTCTTTGTCTCATTTAGTATTCCATAAACATTTTTGACAATAATACAACATTTACAGTCACAATGCTTAATAAAAATGGGTCTACACAAAGTCCACTGTCATGAGTAAAGGAAGAGTACTATATCAACTTTACATAGCAAACTCCAGGCCAGCCAAGACTACACAGCAAGAGCTTGTCTCCAAAGTAAAAAAGTACTAATAGTAGAATACTATTAACTAAATGAGAGCACTCAACAAAGACCTTGGAGGACTTCCAGAGGCAAAAATAAACTGAAATATGGTAACTTATTAATATAGTATTTTCAAGGGATAATGGGAATATTTAAAACTTCACTCACAAGTTTTTCTTTCTCCAGTTTTTGCAGTAAACACTCCATGTTACTTCCAATTCTTGTCTTTTCGACAACTTCATAAAGGCTACAGTACATCCCATTCTTTAAAACTGATACAAAGAAAAAATACACAGTAAAATATCAAATCAGGTCTGCTTCTTGCATATTTTAGTAAAATGAAATTACTTTACCTTCATTAGGACCCAAGTATGTGTCTTTATAAAGCAATGCAGGAGGAATTTTCTGTTTCAAATAATCAATACTCATAACTGTTTCAACATCTAACTTCTCAGGACTGAAAGAAAATATAAGAGTATGTTTGGCATACCTGCACTTTTAACTCTAGCAACATTATCAGATACATTAAAATATACTTAATGAGGGTCGGGGCTGGGGATGCAACTCAGTTGGTTCAGTGCTTGCCTAGCACACAGAAGGCCCTGAGCTTAATCTCCAGTATCATATAAACCAGGTGTGGTAGCACATGCCTGTAATGCCAGCATTTGGGAGGTGGAGAAGGCAGGAGGAATCACAGGTTAAAGGTTATCCTCTGCTACACAGTGAATTTGCAACAAGATGCTACATTAGACTTTGCCTCAAGGTCAACAAAATAAAATATACCTGATGGGAAAATGTATGCATTTATTAATAGCTTAACCTTATTCTAAAGAGAACCTGATATAGGAGCTCAGGTATCTACACTCAGATAAGTAGCAAATGGCAATATCGCCAACCTTACATCCTTAATCAGAAGCTAATCCTTCATGCCAACTTTACTAATGAAAAGAAGAAATAGTTGTTATTTACAGTTACAATATGAGCTGGCATAGCTCTTCTTTTCTTTTGGAGATGCTGAGGATCAAACCCCAGGGTTGTACGGCAGGCAAGCATTCTACCATTGACCTATATCTTCAAGCATTACACTATCTTCTGCATATTAAGAATCAACTTTTAATTCTAATATATGTCATATGAATTATAAACTATAAACTATACACACACACACACACACACACACAAACTTACCACATCAAAGCTTTTTTCAACAAAGAAATGTTTAACCACCACCACCATCCCTTCTTTGTTTTGAAGCAAGTTTTGCTATGGTTTGCATCATAAAGGTCACAATGCAGCCAAGAGTACCTCTGAACTCAAGATCCTCTGCTTGAGCCTCCCACGTACTGGGATTACAAGTATGTTCCACCATATGTAGCTAAAATTGGTCAACTTTTAAGTCTATTATATACAAACTGATAAATATATCTAAGTAGAATAAAATTTAAACTCATCTTTCAGACTTAAAAACACTCAGGATAGACTATCCACCTGACTAGTCATCTTCAAAGTAGAGAACCAGAGCTTGTTTGCCAATTAACTTCCTGAAGTTACAGAATCAACCATTTTAGAAAAAAATTAACATTTACATTTAAGTTTTTATGGACCACAGTAAAATTTAAGATTGAAAAAGATAAATAGTAAGCAAGCCAGGAATGGTGGTGCATATCTATAATCCTATCACACATGAGGCTGAAGCAACAAAGACTGCCTGGGATATATAGTGAATTCCAATCCAGAATAAGGTAATTTCAAACCAATGTTTTAAAAAGAAACAAACAAGAAACTAAAGAAACTAAGTCTTCTTAACTGTCAATTACTATTTTCTTTTTAATTTTTAAGTTGTCTACCAACATGAAATAAAGGGTTCTGTCATTATACTTTGTTGTCATTTATTCTCCTTCCCCATGATCCTCCCTCTGCCCCTTCCCACTATTTTATTTTAATGTAATATACTTACAGCTTGACAGGCAAAAAGGCACGAGTGGCCGACCTCAAAGAAATGTAACATAGAAGCTTTCCTTTATTTAAAAGTTGTCCTTTCCACAAGGTGTAGTTAAATTTTTCTAAACAAAAGAAACAAGAGCCCAGTTGCTTGATAGCCCAGATGGCAAATATTTTCTAGAAATGAAAAGTATCTAGAAATAAGGTTTAAATACAAAATAAACATTGAAGTGACATGCCCTTCAGGGAAAGGTTCAAAATATTAGTTTCTGGTATCTTTTCCCTTTAACAAAAAACCATTCCAACTTCAAAGAACTTCCAATCTGTCTAAGTGCCCTCATTAGAAGCAAAACAAACAATACAGTCACTGTCCCAAAGGAGACTATATTAAACCTGGTTAATGTCTCCTCTCTTCTGTTTCTTTTTTTTTTTTGTGATAAAGAAACTTAAAAAGTAGTAGTTTTAAATTTTCTTTATCAAAATTAAAAACCTCTGGTGAATATAATGCTTTTAAAGTGTTCAATTGTAAAACCCATTTTTTTTTCCAATTCAAAGTGCTAGAAATTCCGGTCCACCTTCAGAAGCAGCAGCATCTTCTAAAAGGAGTCCTTATGTTTGAATGATCAAGTACTGATGCTACAACATTATAACATGACCTCACTTGCTTTATTTCATACTTTTATTATCAAAATAAAACAAAACACTGAACTTATTAATCTTTCACTGTTTATATTTGCAACTTATAAAAGTAAAAAAAATAAGACTCTTACCTATGTTTCTATCTGCATTAAAGCTGTTAGATCTACAAATAATTTTTTAAAAAGAAAGGAAAATTATTACTGATTGGAAACAACATGAAAGTTAACATTTAGGACCCTGACATACTGTCTGTGTTTTTGTTGTTGCTGTTGTATTTTCCAGTGCTGGGGATGGAACCCATCACCTCACACATATACAGCAAGCAATTTAAACTGAACTAAAGCACCAACCTGTGAGTGCCATTTCCAATGGAACTATAGAAGAGAACAAAATTCTTCCAAGTAAGAAAAACTTATTCTTTACAAAATTTAGTAAACCTAAATCTTAGAAGTACTTATTGTTCTATTACTGTATTTGCCAAAATTTATGAGAGCTGTTTTATATTTCAAAAAGTATCCATTAGCAGACATAAGACTATTAATACCTCTGTTGACTATATCTTGAAAATAAGATATAGAAAAAAGTAAGAAAAAACAGCCTCTCTATATAAATTACATTCTTTGGACACTTAATAAACATTTAACTTTAAGCTCTTATTATTTACTAGGCACAATTCTAGGTAACAGAATTCTAAGTATAAACGGAACAGTCCCTTATTTCAAACAAATTACAATCTAATGATGAAGAAAGTTAATTATCAACAAGTACAGTTTCTTAGATGACGATGGTTTCAAGAGCTACACAGAAAAGACCAGTACCAAAGTTAAAAAAAAAAAAAAAGAAAAGAAAAAACAAACAAACAAACAAACCAGAGAACACCCAATGACAGGAAAGGCTAGAGGAATCCTAAGAAATAGCTATGCAATAACTGGGGAAAAGGAAGACCAGCAAACGTGGGGTCCTGAGGCTAAAGTCCTCATGGCACACTCATAGTACAGGATGGATGTTTCATCCATCAGTGTTTGTTTGAGACAATCTAGGGGTCAACAGAAGGGATTCAAAAAAGTAGGAAAAGAGCCAAGCACTCTCAAACATTCAGGAGGAAGAGGAAGGTGGATCTCTGTAAGTTTGAGACCAGTCTGGTCTATATAGCAAGTTCCAAAACAGCCACGGCTACATAGAGTTTGTACCAAAAGAAAGAAGATGCTGGGCAGCGGTGGCGCACGTCTTTAATCCCAGCACTCAGGGGCAGAGTCAGACGGATCTCTGTGAGTTCAAGGCCAGCCTGGTCTACAGAGCGAGATCCAGGACAGGCTCCAAAACTACACAGAGAAACCCTGTCTCGAGAAAAAAAAAAAAAAGAAAGAAGAGACAGACAGACACACAAACACACACAGAGAGATGGAGAGGAAGGGAAAGAAAGAAAATTAACAGTCACTACTTTCAGGGATATGACTCTCATTTATAAGTGGTATGTCCTTTAAAGACCATCTATGAAAAAATGCTACAGTAAATGTGTATGTCAGCATTCATACACATGAAGCAAAAGTGAGACACATACTCATCTCTGTATTACATGAACTAGTACTTGTCGAGGTTTTGAGGGTTTATTAATGTGGGGGAAAAACAAAACAAAACAGAAGTGCTGTATCAGTAGGGCTTGGTAGCTCATACCAGCACTCAAGAGGCTGAGGTAGGATCTTCTCAATCTTAAACCTAAGCTATAGTAAACTCTAAGACAGCCTGGGCTATAGTATACAATACAACTCTATATCCAAAAAGAGTACTCCTTCTCAAGCACATTTGACTTTAAAAACAGAGATCACCCTAGGGGGAAAAAAAAAAAGCATCCTTAAAGATATATATCATTTAAGATATGTGTTTTTTGTTTTTTTTAAATAGTTAGAAAAGTTACTTTAAGTGTGTTTATGAACTCAAAAAGAAAATAATTATCACCTGACTCTTAAGACTAGGAATGTCTAGGCATTCCATTAAATAGTTCATTGGTTTGGGACAGAGCTTTAGAGAAACTCTTCTTTTTTGTTGTTGTTGTTGTTTTTGAGACAGGGTTTCTTTGTGTAGCTTTGGAGCCTGTCCTGGACCTCGCTCTGTAGACCAGGCTGGCCTCAAAATCAGAGATCCGCCTGCCTCTGCCTCCCAAGTGCTGGGATTAAAGGTGTGCGCCACCACCGCCCGGCTTCAGAAACTCCATTTTTAAGAGTATCTAAACAAAATTAACAAAATTTCTGTTTGGGGAAGGCAGGGACTCACGTAAAGAAGATGGCTTCAAATTCACTGGACAGCCAAGGCTGACCTCTATGTCCCAAGTGCTGGGAGTCCAGGCATATACCACAATGAGTTAAAATGTCAAAGTACATGTAAACCTTCAAAAAAAAAAAAAAAAGAAAAGAGAAAAAGAAAAAAGAAAAAGAAAAAGCCCCACAATTTAGCTAGGTGAATAAAAGCAAATTTTAGTTCCTGTTTCCATAGTAGTGGTCATCCTTCATACTTACCATGAACATGAAAACATCTAGTTAATGTCAAAAAAGGTTGAAGAGAGCAATGGAAGCTTCTGAACTATTTCTCTGTGTAAAATTGTCTTACCTCAGTGAAGACACAAACTTTGGAGTTTGTATATCATCTTTGTAAGTAAAAGACACAACTGCATATGGACAAACATGTCTCGGTCTCCGTCTTAGTTCATCAAAGCCATACTCATAAAAATAATACTAAAAATAAGAAAGCACAAAATTAACATTTCAGAATAGGCAAGTAGTAGAGAAGATATATTTTATTAAAAACCTAAGCACCTTTAAGCAACTCTGGTGGCAAAGAAACTTTCTTGAGCTTATCCACTTAACCAAAACAAAAAAATTGTACTTTCTATGTATTTTATGTACCAGATACCAAGGTATCCCAGAAGTTTACTTCTGAAGCGTTGACAAAAGGAATGTGCAATTAACTTCCTAATGAAAATAAAATAAAATGTAGCCTAAACTAGGTCAGCCCAGAAAAGGCAACTTGATTAAAAAAGTAAAAAATACTTGGCCGGGCGGGTGGTGGCGCACGCCTTTAATCCCAGCACTCGGGAGGCAGAGGCAGGCGGATCTCTGTGAGTTCGAGGCCAGCCTGGGCTACCAAGTGAGTTCCAGGAGAGGCGCAAAGCTACACAGAGAAACCCTGTCTCGAAAAACCAAAAAAAAAAAAAAAATACTAAGGACAAAATTTCAACCAGTATTAAGTATCATTTTTTGTTAGTGCAAAAGAAAACAAAACTAGAACTCAATTGCAAAGAATGAAGCAAAGAAAGTGCAAAAGAAGATGACAAAAGCCTTTTCCCTCCCCGTTTATGACAGTCACCATGCTGGAGTTTTCTGACTGCAGAAAATGAGAAAGAATGCCTGAGCCTATAATCAAGTCCTCTTCCCTGGGAATTACTGATTTCAATAATGTTACTTTTCTCAAAATACTTCCAAAACACTTTTTTTTTTAAATATAAAACTCTGGTTTATAAGTTCTAGAAAACCCAGTTACTAAGTATACTTCAAGTCTACCAACAACACTATAATCTAAAAGGAGTGAATTAAGGAAGCTACTGATGCCTTTTGTGAATAATTTTGGTTAAAACCCCCAGCCAAAGACAATTCAACAAAGAGCCAACAAAGTATTTTCCACAAATACTGCAGAAAAATTTTGTTATTATTTTATGTTTATGAGTATTTGCCTACATACGTCTGTCTGGGCACTACTTGCCTATCTGCTGCCTGAGGAAGCCAGAAGGCATCTGATCCCTTGGAACTGGAGTTACAGACATTTGTGAACTGTCATATGGTGCTGACAAACGAATTCAGATCCTCTCCAAGAGCAGTCAAGGATCTTAACTGATCTGCCATCTGTCCAGCCCCAACAAAAAGGTTCACTATATAATGGAAGAGGACAACACCCACAACTAGACATCTTATGCTACCAAATAAAACCCCCAGGGCCAATAATGGGTTACATCTTCTTAACAGTTGGCCAAAGGAGTGCCATAAACCCATTCAAACATCACAGGCTATTGCCAAAGTTACTGGTTGCCCTGTACAACCTGACAATAAGGCCCTATTGCTGAATACATTATGTCATCAAACATGCAGAAATTGGGCTGGTGCCCAACTAAGGAGCTTCAATTCCTACCAACCAGCACTCATGGTGCTGGAAGGTACTATGCACGCTACTATAAGAGAAAAATAATCATCAGTATTACTCAGCTATGAAATCCTTGACCTACAACAGCAATCTGCCCGCAACATATGCTAGTGCAATAGTGGTACAAATGTTATTGGAGTAACCAAACATTTTTCTATTGGATTTAAGGCACACTCCATGAGATGGAACCCTATCACTGCTAAAGTGGCCAAGAACCTGAGACTAAATAAGTCATGGGCCCTAGTGGAAAACCTACTACTATTACTCTGCTAAGTGAACACATTAGTAAAATGACTCCTAATGACATACTACTATACCCATAGATCAGTGCATCACTCAACCCTCACAAGAGATGCTTCTTGTAGATGGAGATTAACAGAGACCCACAGCTGGACAATGTGTAGAGAGTGAGATACTTCATAGCATTCAGTCCTAAATGGGATGTCTTTATCAAACTCCTCCTCACTCAAGGATCTATGCTAAGAGGTGGCACGAAGATTATAAGAGGCAGAAATGGTAGATGACTCCAAGGAAACAGCATCACTTAGCCAAAACAGGGCTGATACACATATTAACTCACACATAAGACTTACACAAGTTCAAACCATATAAAAATCCCAGAATGGCTGGGCAATGGTGGCACACGCCTTTAATCCCAGCACTCGGAAGGCAGAGCCAGGTGGATCTCTGTGAGTTCGAGGCCAGCCTGGACTACCAAGTGAGTTCCAGGAAAGGCGCAAAGCTACACAGAGAAACCCTGTCTCGAAGAAAAAAAAAAAAAAAAATCCCAGAATGAAGAAGGGGAAGTAGACACAAAGTACTACCCCTAACTAAGAAGCTATTTGCAATCAATACCTGCTAAAAAAAGGGAAAACCAATTTTCTCTAATGGAAAAACACTGTGTTATATCAACTCCAGGGTCGGTCCCCATGCCTAAGAGTCCCATGCCTAAGAGTAGCTGTTCAACAAAAAAACAGAGTCCTTGCTTTTTTGTATGCATTTGTTTCAGTTTGATAATTTCTGTCTTACTGTTTGTTTGTTTATTTATTTATCTATTTATTTTTGGAGAAAGAAAATGTAGTTGGGTAGGTAGAAAGCTAGGAAAGATTTTGGAGGAGGTGAGGAAGGGAAAACAATGATATATTAAAATATATTGCACAAAAATTTTAAAATTTTAAAATTTAATAGGCTGGCATCACTACTTTTCACATACAATCCATTAGTTACACACCTTTTACATGCTTATTAATGGGGAAAGCTCACAGGCCTCAAACCTAGACAACACTACAACTAAGGAATGCTGAGAGCAAGAAAAACAGTCTGGCCTAGAACTCATGATTTTCCCAGTACTGAGGGGGATGAGACAAGAGGATCATGAGTTTGAGGTCAGCCTAAGCTATATAACAAGACCTAGTATTTAAAAAAAAAAGAAAGAAAAAAAAAAAAGCCAGACAGTAGAAACAGGAATATCAGGAAAGAGCTCAGGGACAGCCTCTAGTACCTAAGACCCTGTATCCAAAAAAAGTAGCCTAGTGTAGTGGCACACACCTTTAATCCAAACATTTAAGAGGCTGAGGCAAAAGAGATCTCTTAGTGAATTTGAGGCCAGTCTGGACTACTAAGCCAACCAAGACTACATAGTGAGACCCTGTCGCAAAAAACTCGAAACAAACTTCATCAACAAAAAACTGACCATGTCAGTACATAGCTTTAATGCCAGGACTAGGCGGGCAGGGCAAAAAGATCTTTTTGAGTTCAAGGTCAGCCTGATCTACATAAAGAGCTCAGAGATACATACTGAGACTTTATCTCAAAAAAAAAAATTGTTTTAGAAAAGAAGAGAACATATATAGTTTTCTGTATATCTGGTAAGGCTTAAAAATATACTCTTAAGTCTGTATTCTAATACATCAATAGAACAAACCAAGTACTGTGATTTAAGATAGTCAAAGCTTGACCTTTACTTTGAAAAACAAATGGTATTTTATTCACCAACAAGGTTTTTCTAGGGTCCTGAAATGCAGGCATTTCAAGATAATAAGCCGGGCGGTGGTGGTGGTACACGCCTTTAATCCCAGCACTCGGGAGGCAGTGGCAGGTGGATCTCTCTGAGTTCAAGGCCAGCCTGGTCTACAGAATGAGTTCCAGGACAGGTTCCAAAGCTACACAGAGAAACCCTGTCTCGAAAAACCAAAAAAAAAAAAAAAAAAGATGTAGTAAGGTGATGCTGGAGAGATGGTTCACAGTTAAGTGCTGGCTTGCTTGATCCTGAGGACCAGAGTTTGGATCCCAGTACCCTTTTAACAAGCCAGGTAAGCATCCCATAACTCCAGCTCTTATCTGATCCCCTTTCCTTCGGCTTCCTGTATGCACACACTGGGAGACAGACACACATAAATACAATAAATCTGTCACATTAAAATGGATCCAAATACATACCTGAGTAAGCTCATAGGCTCTGTAAGCCAAAAGGGATGTAATTCTACTGGCATTTTTAGACACATGACATTCATGCTTTGGTGTAGGATCCAAAGCATTTTTACTTAACGTAGGTTCCAAGCTTTTTACACTCAGAGGATCATAAACACTCTTTATTTTACCCTAAAATAAAGAGAATATTTTAAGTATCTATTTAACATCATTTTTACTATATGCTATTATAATAAGGAAATACAAGTACTATTAAACTATTTACCTACTTATATTACCAACACGTTACTTTCTTCCCCATTATTTTCTTCAGAAAACAGTTTAAGAGTGTGTGTGTGTGTGTGTGTGTGTGAGAGAGAGAGAGAGAGAGGAGAGAAAGAGAGAGTGTGTGTGTGTGTGTGTGTGTGAGAGAGAGAGAGAGAGAGAGAGAGAGAGAGAGAGAGAGGAGAGAAAGAGAGAGAGAGAGAGAGAGAGAGAGAGAGAGAGAGAGCGAGCGCGGTGAGACAGTTCAGCAGGTAAAAACACCAAGCCTAATGACCTGAGTTTGACTCTGAGGACCCACAAGGCTGAAGGAAGAACTGACTCCCCCAACTCCCCAAGTCTTCCTCTCATCTTCACATGCATCCTGTGACATGTGCACCCACACCCACATACATTATATTAATAAATAAACAGGGCTGGAGAGATGGCTCAGAGGTTAAGAACACTGGCTGTTTTTCCAGAGGTCCTGAGTTCAATTCCCAGCACCCACATGGTGGCTCACTACCATCTGTAATGAGATCTGGCTCCCTCTTCTGGTCTGCGGGGATACATGAAAACAGAACATTGTATACATAATAAATAAATAAATCTTAAAAAAAAAAAAAAAAAAAAAAAAAAAAAAAAAAAAAAGAAAAATAAATAAACATAAAAAAGACCGCAAATCAATTACTCTAAAGAGTCTAGAGCATCTTCATATAACACCAAATACAGACTTTTAATTCAAAAACTCCTAAAGTCATGAGAACACTTAAAACTGAAATCCAAGTTAAATGTTATCTTTGATATGTACAAATAAAAGTGAAAATTACCTTCATTATTTTAAAAATAACAACATCACCCACTGCCCCAGCTTCCAAAGGATTAGCCTGTAAGAGATCTGCATATCTACACAGATATATACCTAACAGAAAAAGAAAAATAATTTAAACAATTAGGTTTGTTTTTTTAATCAAAATATTTAACCAATAATAAAAACGGAGGTGTGGCAACTTTTTAAAAGCAATACTAGAGACAGTAGAGATAGCTGATGCTTAAACCATAGTAAAACATGAAATTAATCACGTTTTTCAAAATCATTTTGATCAGAATAAAACATTTTAAATAGTAATATTTGATCAATTAGAAGTATGCAAAATCAGAAACAAAGAAATAAAATCAGCATTACATTTCAGAACTTAATACTACTCTCCTTGTTTGAAAATATAAAAAACATACAGATTAGTGACTATAAGCAGATTACATTAAGAGTTTTAAATGGCAACTTCATAGTAGTTAAGTATAAATGAAAAACAAAAAAATTACCCATGGAAGGACTGCCCAGAATAGTTATTTTGGACTGGCCCACCTGCAATCCTTTTTCACATATGCTTTGAACCTAAGTAAACAAAACAAAACATTTCAGTTTGAAATCATAACAAGAAAAATCTATAAAATTTCAAAATGTAATCTTATAAACTATACCTTACAGAAATTTTACACACAAATGTCAGCTAACTATTAAGTATTAATGTAAAACTTGCTTAAATTTCTTAGGTAATCCTATCAGAAACTTATCTTTATTTATGCTACTTGTGGCAGATACTGTCATAAACAAAAGAAAATTAAGACCAGAAAAATACTTATTTTAAGATTTTTAATACTCTTATTTATGTGCAATATGTATTTGTGTGTGGCAGTACCCCCAAACACCAAAAGAGGGCAGTGGATTCTCTGGAGCTGGAGTTACAGGCACTTGTGAGCTGACTAACATGGGTGCTGGGAATTGAACTCAGGTCCTCTTGAAGAGCAGCAAGTACTCTTAACCTCTGAACCACTTCTCCAGCCCCAAGCAAAATATCTAAAGAGAAAGTTAACCACTACTTTCAATTAAAGGGGGAAAAAATGGCTATAAGAATATAGTCAGCATTATATAAGACAATCTTGTTTTCATAAAAGAAAATGTTCAATCAAGCACGTTCTAAGAGAAGAAACAAAAACAACCAGAGAAACAATGATTACATTTGAAAAAGAAATTGCAAAGCATATACTTTGCCCCACTGAATCATTTCTTCTACTTATATGTCAATAAAAACATCAGGTTACGGTGAATGCCTAGAACCCCAGATGGCTGACAGCAAAATGCCCCCAAGTTCAAGAACAACCTATCTCAAAAAAAAAAAAAAAAAAAAACAAGGGCTGGAAAGACAACTGTTTAAGAGCTCATACTGGTCTTCTAGAGAACTCAAATTTAATTCCCAGTATACTCATATCAGGCATGAGTTACTCTGCCTGTAATTCTCACTCTAGGAAATCCAATATACACCTAAACTCATATGCATACACATACACTTTATTAAGAATAAAGTTAAATCATAAAGAATAAACAAGGATGAGGTAAGATGGCTTAGTAGGTAAAGGCACCTCCCACCAAGACTGACAACCTGAGTTCAACACTCTCTCTTTCTCCCTCTCTCTCAGAAAAAAGCTGCTGTATACTCACCAAACATGTTGTTGAATAATTGTGAAACTCGTGACTTACAATGGAAACAGAATTGTCTCACCTGGTATCGATCAACCATGAGAAATGCGTAAGATTCTGAAAGTTCCTTATCCAAACGACCATCAAACTTCAGTTCTCTTCTCTTTTCTGTAAACTAAAAGAAATTAATCTATAACTACTTAGCATGACTGTTTCATTAAGCTTAGCGTTAAAGAAATTTTTCTAAGAAATCTCAAACCTATCAAAATAAAGATCTTTCTCTATGCTTTCTGCTATTCAATGTTCAATTTTATTTCTTCCCATTTTAATTCCCCATATATATATAAAACAGTCCAAAGTATCTAGTACTTACTAATTTTAGCCAATTTTTTTATTAAAAGTTTACTATGCCGCCAATCACCTCAAAGATTATAAACTGATGCTTTGTTATCTTTTTATCTCCCACTTAACATGGTATACTGAATAGGTGGTTTAATTTATTTAACCCAGGCACAGTGGCAAGTAGCATTTAACCTTGTAAAGCCAGCAGTCTGGAGGCTGAAGCAGGAAGATTCCTTTGGGTTCAAGGACAGCCTCTGTTACAGAATGGGACCCAGTCTAACAGTATGTTCCATATTCATCAAGTCATCTAAACTGCTGGATTTACTTTTAGATTCAAACAGATATCTATTTAAAGTACAGAACAGCAAGCATTTTGTATTTGTATTCAGGCTACCTCTTCAACCATGTACTGTAATTTCAGATAACATTTCCATAAACAATTAACAAAAAATCCCTACTATACCATGAAATCACGTCAAACTATCAAAAATTTTTATTTTCTCTAAAACTGGTAACAGTGGCCTTCAGGAAGTGCCCTTCAAAGTTAAATTTTGTTAGCATATCATTAACTGTTATAAAACCAAACTTTGTAATATTTCATATCCATTAGAAAGCCATAAATATTAAACATTCTAAAATTCCATTTGTGTGTTACCTCAGAATTATACACGTTGGCTTTTCCTATATTAAACTCAAAGAATATCTAATTTGTAAATGAAGTTAGGATTCATTGTCAACTATTACCCTTTGTATATACTTAATTTCACTAAAATTAACAATACAGCCGGAAATTTTAGAAAAAGAAAAAAAAGGTTATTTCCTAACAAAACACATTAAATCTTATTTCATTATCTTTCAATATAGACATTTAATTACCATGTACAAAATAGGGGGAAAAAAGTCCTTGTCAATTTACAATTAAGTACTCTTATAGTAAGCTATCCCTAAGTGGATGACTTAATTTCAGGATTCTGCATAGCTACATATTAGTAACAATTAAACACAGCAGATAAACATAGCATAGCAATAAAAGAGATACAATTTAGGAGGGGGATATATCTGAGGGATTGAGCACTTGCTTAGCATTGAGTCAGACCCAGGGGTTTAATTCCTAGGACTACAAAAAAATCATTTAAAAAAATTAAAAAAGGATTTCTTCCCCATGCTAATTACATACCTCTTTTTCCAAAAGGTCATTATGTATCAAGCAAGCTCGTCTATAGTTAAAATTTGTTACTGAGGATGGCTCAAGGTAAGATGAATGGAGAATATTTAAAACATCTTCAAATTCTCTAGAACCTGGAGTTAATTGCTGGAAAAGTGCTAAAATAAAAAAATAAAAACGGATTGTAAGATCATAAATGTACATTTTTCTGTTCTGTTCTTTTTTTTTTTTTTTGGTTTTTCGAGACAGGGTCTCTGTGTTTTTTTAAATATCTAATTTCAAATGAACAAAAGGCATCAAAAGGGACTTCATTTTATGACGTGCAAGACTGAAGATGACCAACTAGACAGCCCACAGGTGAAGGTGCTTCCTGCAGCCCTGACAACTGAATCCTAGGATCCTCATGACTCAAAGGTGCCCCTACCCATCACCTGCCTACACATGTACATGTACTCGCACACCAATAATTTTTTTAACTCACTCAAGAAAAATTAGACTTACCTATACTAACTAGTTCCCTCAGCAATGAGAATCTGGCCTCACACACAAAAAAAGGTTGCAATTTTACAAACCTCAGGGATGCTACACTGACAATCTAAACTGCTTAAACTCTTGTAATAACCTATACATGTACTCAACTTGTCTCAATTACTACTTACATTACACTCAAAAAGTATGTCTAAGACTATGATAGATTAGGAAATATAAAGATTTACCATATATGAAAGCTTAAACCCAACTCATGTCTCTAATTCCTATACTTGAAAGGCAGAGAAAAGAGGATAATCAAAAGTTTAGAGGCAGCTTGATCTACAAACTGGAGGTCCAGGCCAGCCAGGACTTTACAGCAAGATCCTGTCTCCAAAAAAAAGGGCAAAATCCAATTTTAGACAATGAACCCATAAAATAAAATGATTGTTTACATTTAGTAATAAAGTTAGAGTAATGTGCAGTACTCAAATAGCTTTATTATTGATATAAAATAGAACATTTTTAACTACCAAATGTTAAAATGAATGCAAGGCTTTCAGCCAAGCCAGCAGTGTTAAGTCTTTTTTTGTTTTGTTTTTTCTTTCCTTTTTTTAAGACAGGGTTTTTCTGTGTAGCCCTGGCTGTTCTGGAACTCTGTAGACCAGGCTGGTCTTGAACTCAAGAGATCCTCCTCCTGTCTCTGCCTCTGAGTGCTGGGATTAAAGGTGTGCACCACTTTATCCTAGCTATTTGATGGCTAAGTACAGAGCTAGTTCAAGGATGGCCTAGACAACTTAGTGAGACTTGTCTTCAAAACAAAAAGTAAAAAGTAGTAGAACATTTGCTTTGAATGTTTCAATACCAATACTGGAAAACAACAAAACAGTTCATAGAGTTTTAGAGCAAAAACTGAAATACCAGATTTGTCATTTGCTGGCTTTGTAGCAGATGATATATAACTTAATCAAACAGTCCAGTTCTCTCATTATAAAATAGGAAACTCCACTTCTAATAATTATATGCCAAGTACATTATGTAACGCAGTACATAGAAAAAACGTACTAAGCAGAACAAAGCAGCTGGTGTAAAGTTAACACAATGACATTTGTATGCCTTGTGTTTTCACCATTCTATATTCCATTTAATTTTCTTCTTCCATCTCTGATACAAGTTCTTACCAGGCAGTCAAGGCTAACCTCAAATCCTTTTTTTAGTCTCTCGAGTGCTGGAAATACAAGCATATCTCACCACATCTGGCTCAAATTTGTATGCATGCATGAACATGTATGCTCATGCCAAGATGTACATGTAGAGGTCATAGAACACCTTTCAGATCAATTTTCCGGGAGTCAAACTCAAGCTTATACACATAGTGAACTGTGCTTTTACCCTGAAACAACTCTCCGGTACTGGAATTTTTAAAACACTAAATCATCTAATCTGTTTGATTTAATAACCAAGTATGGTGGCATATGCCCTTAATCACAACATTCAGGATAGACAGATCTCTTAGTTTGAGGCCAGTTTGTTCTACAGCTTAAGTTCCAGGACAGCTAGAGCTACATAATGAGATCCCAACTCAAAACAAAAGAAGCCAACACACAACAATAATTTGGCCTTAATAACCTTAAATTTCTAATATGTACATGAAAGTTTTCATTTAATAAATTTCAAATATCAGATCTACACATATAAACTTTCCACAATCAAAAAAGGCATACTTTTTTTTTAATGTAGACAGAACTATTCACAGAAACAATTATACTCACCATTTATCTGTATTTTTTTCAAGACATTTATTTAAGGTCAACAAATATTAAGTAACTTTTGGGTTCCACTGAAAGCACTGATAGATGTATATTTATCTATTTCAACACAAGGACTCACCAAAAAAAATCCGTAATAGTCTGAAATTCATTATGTAGCCTAGGCTGACCTCAACTGTGCCATCTTCCAGCTTCCGTTTCCCAAGTACTGGGATTATAAGCAATTGCCATCACTCTCAGCTTTATACATACTCTTAGAAGTATGACACTTTGTGGGGGCTGGAGAAACAGCTCAGTGGTTAAGAGCATGTACTCTTCAAAAGGACCTGAATTCAATTCTCAGCACCATGTCAGGTGGCTCAACCACCTCTAACTCCAGCTTCAGAGAATCCTACACCTTTGGCTTCCTTAAACACCTGCACTCATGTGTACATCCCCTGACACACACATACATACACATAATTAAAAAGTAAATACTTAAAAAGTATGCTACCTGAAAGCTAACTATAAACAAGCTGTTTTTACTGTACTTTCAATTCATTTTTATTAGACTATAAAAGATACAATGTCAAGTGGCATACCCATTCTTTAACTAGGCATACACAGTATTAGTCTAAAAATGAAGAGTTACCATGTGTGCCAGGTAAAAGCCAATGTATACCTACTTTAAAGATAACATATACAAACATCCTGAGGAATAAATTCAACATGGTTACAATAATGCAACTGAAGAGAAAAAGTGGCTGGTGAGATGGCTTAGCTGGCTGTGCAAGCCTGATAAACTGAGTTTGGATCCCTGGAAGCCACAGAAAAAGTCAGATGCTGGTTAAGTTACAAGGTAGGAGGCAGACAGAACTGTTCCCAGGAAGCTCATGGGCCAGCTACCCTGGAGTAGAAACAAGAGAACTAAAGAAAAAAAAAAAAAGTCTGACTATAAGTAAACTAAAAAGGAAAAAAAAAAAAAAAAGACATTCAAATAGAGTAAGACTACTAAGAGTATCCTATAATCAAATTTGTAGATGTATCCAGTAATAAATAAATAGTCAATTCCATAAGAACACAAACTACATCTGCCTTGTTCACCTCATCTTTCCCATACACTAGTAAGTAGAAATATAAGCAGTTCCAAGTACACTCAATGGTTAAAGTACACACAGGCAGTACTTTTTTTTCTTTTTTAAAGTTCATATAAAGAGTTTTTTCACTTTCAAAGTTTAAAATCACTATAAAAGCTGAAGCACGGATCACAAGGAGCTGCTTTCCCAATATGCACTAAGTGAATGAATATGCTACCCTAAAGCCATTATACTCTCACATCAAGATGACCTAGGACAGATAGTAACAGGCCCACACAACCCACTTGTTACAGTTCCAATCCCAGCAAACACTTGATGGTGGGGTGTGTGTCTGTTTTTGAACAAAGAAGTGATTTACTATTTAGACCGAGGTGCACACCATATGAATTTACTTCCATTATCAGAATATCAATAAAATTCAGCTACAAAGTAGGCCCTGTCGCAACAAAACCAGGACAGAACTGCAGAAATCAGGGAGATTTGTCAGACAATCAGAACAAACACTGGCTGTGCTTCTATTCTCACAGTAGCAACAAAAGTTTTATGTTGAATACAAGCTCCAACTACCAAAATGTTTGTTTTAAATTAAGATTTAGCAATAAAGCACTTCTCCTAGCATGCACAAAACCTCGGTTCAATCCCAATAACTGCAAACAAAATAAAAAATAAGAAGGCGGAGCAAGCTCTTGCTAGCCCAGCAGAGTAGAACACACCTATAATCTCAGCTCTCAAAATGCTGAAATTGAATTAATACAAATTCAAGGCCATCCTGGGCTATGTATGGAATACCAGGCCAGCCAGTGACATATACGGAAAGGAGACCCTATCTCAGAAGAAATTAACAAAAAGATCCATTCATACATACATAAATACTATCATAAAACAAAACCCAAGAATAGAAAATAGAAATAGATGTTTAAATTTGTTGTATAGGAATGGTGGATAATTCAACATTTTTGTTACCACTACCTCCTGTTAAACTAATTTTTTTTTTTTTTTTTTTTTTTTTTTTTTTTTTTTTTTGGTTTTTCGAGACAGGGTTTCTCTGTGTAGCTTTGCACCTTTCCTGGAACTCACTTGGTAGTCCAGGCTGGCCTCGAACTCACAGAGATCCGCCTGGCTCTGCCTCCCGAGTGCTGGGATTAAAGGCGTGCGCCACCACCGCCCGGCTAAACTAATTTTAAAGTTTACACAGAAATTACTTTCCTTAAGCTGACAACACTACTTCCAACCAATCTAATCATGAACAAAAATTAATCAAACACTGGGCTGACAACATAGTTCAGTGGTTAAGAGTACTTATCACACTTGCAAAGAACAACTTGCAAAGAACGTAAGTTTGATTCCCTGTAGCCATGTCAGGTAGCCTAAGGTCTGTAACTCCAGCTCCAGGGGATTTAATGCTTCTGGTCTTCAAGGGCACCTGTTATCACCTGCAAATACCACACCTCTCCATACACACATACATATAAAAATAAATTACAGAGACACACACAAATAAGTCAAACATAAAATTGCATAAATTAACTCTTTGTAAAGTACTAAACATTTCCAGTTTAATCCAAAGCAATGTCCTGTACAGTCATGTCAAGAGTAACTAAAACATCTGCTAATAGGGGGAAAACAAATCTTAAAAAACAGAATAATAGAAATAACTATTACTTTAGGTCAAACAATAAATAATGGTCCTAAGCATTTCACATTTCAAATGGATTCACTAGTTAGGTCACAAATTAATATTTCTCTGACTTTTTTTCCCTCAACAATCATTTGTATAAAATAAAATTACACTATCTACTTTTAAAGACTTTAAGGCCATGTGCTGGCAATGGCAGTTTAGAAATT